TAAAAATGATCTTTCGAACCGTATATTGACTAATAGATGTTTAGAAAAGTTTACTTACATAGATTAATTGAATATTTTGTTAATTTGTTAAGTATTAATTTATTTATCCAGTTATTATTTCCCTTAAAGCTTATGAATTACAGAAGCAGCAACAAATTGAATGATTGCGTATTTAAGGCAGTTGCATTTCCCTGAATGTTTTCTATCAGAACTGATTATTCAGTTATGTCCAATGAGGCGTTGCGCATTATCGTTATGTAATGTAATAAGTCAGGGAATCAGTTTTTTGTTCCATCGGTCAGTTTAAATTGATTGGCATGGATGGAGGGTTATATTATCATAACTTAGGTTATTCTTGCGCTGCTGTTAGACTTTCGTAAGTTTCATAATGTCCGGAACATTTCGATTGAGTAAGTGCATTATAGTTAGGTAGTACTGAATAAACAAACAAAAATACATCTTTCGCAGTCATAACTATAAAATATGTGAGTAGTAGTATTATTACTTTTATCTGTAAATATTATGCATCATTATTGCCAAAATTTATTTCTCCTTTGATAAATATTGTGAATCAATTTTTAAACAAATAAATTAGGGATCTACGAGTAAATTAAATGACGCGACGAATCATTTTCAGTATTTTCTAAGATTATGTTAGTTATAATTTTATTATATTCTGTATATTTTAGAGATTATAAAAGTTTAATGAATTGACTTTTTCATAATGGATATGGGGTGCAAGGAAAATTAAAAATATCCCAGGTGATAATGATATTTAAACTTAATACTATATTTTCTGTCATTGGGTGTGGCTACTTACATTGAGGTGCGGTTATTATAAGTATTTTTTTTCTTTACATAGTCAGGGAGGCAAACGACTCTACCCCACCTGATGTTAAGTGGTAATAAAGTCCCAAACGCGACGTCCAAGTACTAGGTACTTGTGAAAATAATTTTAACTAATTTTTGATATATTTCGCATGATATACATACAGTTACATATAAACAGCTTGAAGCTTAGACTAAAGCAAGAAGAGTTTACTTTTACAGTTAGTTTAACCCTTTTAGTATGAAGGCTTTAAGCCATGTGTGTAGTGTAGCCTGTTAGTCACTTTTGTATAAATATTGGCCGAGTGACTTCGAATTAGGGTTCAGGATTGCTCTGAGTCACTGTCTGCGAATCACTTAACTGATTGTTGTGGTCAGGAACAAACAATTGAATGGAATTATTATAGTTTGTTTGATATTGGTACTACGACATCCATACTTATATTATATGTGCGAAAGTGTGTCTGCCTGTTATCTTTTCACGCTTAAACTGCTTAACCGATATATATGAAATTTGGTATGGAGTTACTTTGAGTCCCGGGTTTATCCAATATCTATTTACCGTACGCGCTTAAGTAACTATAGCACCATCGAGCTGATCTTTCACTGGCCATGCATATCTAATCGTTATTTACATTTGAGTAGACAAACGAAATATATATGTATGACAAGTAGGTATTTAGGTACCACTTGCTACAAACGGCCTAAAATGTACACATTAAAATGTATGAGAACCATTGTAAAAGCGGGCTAATGTTTTAAAGATTTCGCTCAAAGGAAAAGCAGATGGGTTAACGTAACCGCAAACGTTTGCCGGATACGTCCGACGACCTCGGTAGTGGAATGGCTAGCTTGCTATTTTCCGTGAGCCTAGTCGCCAGGTTCGAACCCCGGATGGGTTATTGTATATATATAGACTTGTGAAATAATTAAAATAATAAAGATATTTTTTCACTAGAAACAATTTAACGCGCGAGGAGCTCGATGGCGCCAGTGGTTAACGCGTTCGGCTGCGATCGTTGAAGTTGAGCAACTTTCGTGTTGTGTGGTCGGTTATTGGATGGGTGACCAAAAATTTACTATCTCGAGCTCCTCCGTGCTTCGGAAGGCACGTTAAGCCGTTGGTCCCGGCTGCATCTGCAGTCGTTAGCACCCACCAAACCGCACTGGGCCCGCGTGGTGGGTCATGGCCCCCAATCTCCCTATTCCATCCATAGGGAAGGCCTGTGCCCCAGCAGTGGGGACATTAATAGGTTGATGATGATGATGAATTTAACGCGGCCTGTTTTAAATGGATATCAAAACCAGCGTCCTTTTTTGATTTTTTGAGATATGCAGTCCTAATGAATCTGTAGACACTGCAACCTATAACATCTATTACGATTAGCCACCAAGAAGCACGTTTCTAGCTTTTACAGATTTGATATTCCCTGGGCGTATTATATGTCGTCCTATGCCGTCTTTGACCTATTGGAGGCCCTGGGCACATTAGGATAATGAGGCCCCTTCGACCCCCGTTTGGTGATTTAACAGGATCTAGGGACTTTGTATTTGATCTGAGGGGGGCCCCTATCGATCGCGGGGCCCTGGGCATTTGCCCAAAGTGCCCACTGGGAAAGAGGGGTCTGATGTCGTCCCAGATGAATACTCGTTTGTGGATAAGAGGCCCACCCCACATTCACATAGAAGGTGTTTTGGTGTTTCACGCTTCCTATTACAGTATCTGCAAACATCAGTGTCACTGAATTTCATAATAATTTGGTCTCTGTTGAGATTGCAGTGTCCAGTTAAGACTTAAAGTAGCTAGGGTGTTCGGCCTAATAAGTTTTATTAACTCAGCAGTTACCTATTCGGGAGAATCACCGAGCAAATACTTTGTATTTGCTCCATAGGGACAATGCACTGACCGATATGTACGAAGTGCATTCGCCCGAATAGTGAAGGTAGCTACACGATTCCGGTCTCATACCTGGGGCTGTACCATTGATTGACTGATTATTGTACTAACAGGGACTCCGTTTCAGTTGATAAAGTATAAACTATTAAATTCGCGTGCAAAATATTTTCCAAATGAAAATCTTCTTAGGATATTCTAGCAAATTATTGGTGATTTTTATTTCGTCTTTTATTAATATGAATCACACTAATATTACTAAAGGCGGAAGTTTGTGAGTATGTATGTTTGTGACTTCTTTACAACTAAGCGGCTGGAGCGATTTTTATAAAATTTGGTATGGAGTTAGTTGACACCCTAGATTAATACTAGGCTTAGGCTACGTTTAACTGCGGGAAAATATTCCTAATAAACCGCGGGTAACACCGCTGGGCACAGCTAGTAAAAATATAAACGTTAAACGACGTAAACAATAGGCACATGTAGTACGTCGACGGGCCTACTAACATCGCAAGCGGAGGGATAGTGACTAAATTGTTTTTATTTTTTTAAGCATTTAACTGCTACATGTTTAAATCTAAAGAAAACTTTTACTAGAAAAAGAAATTGCAGCTTAAGGATAGGAAAATTTCGTTGCGGCCATCAGGGCCGTGGTAGCATAATTGGTCAGTGCATTCGCCCGGATTGCGAAGGGTGCGGGTTCGAGTCCCGTCCGCTGCCTGGTCCGTTTCTAGTTTAGTTTCTACTATTTTTTTTCTAGTAAAACTTTTCTTTAGATTTAAATTGTTTTTGAAAAAAAAAATATAAAGAAATAATGTATTTTTATCACACTGAAGTACCTACTTATTCTTTCACTTGAGATTGCATAAACTAAAATACATAAATATTTATCATTCGTATATTATGATTATAGATATTTCTAAATTTTAACTGTCCACTGGGGATAAACTTTAGTATATACTTGTGTCTTATCCAGGATGTCTTCTTAAGTAAATAAGTAGTTAACCTACCAAAACCGGATTTAAAGGTGTGGAGTCAAAGTAGCCAAGAAGTGACGGTCCCTAACTAGAGAGTATTTTAAACCTGACATCCCGGATAACTTACGATTTAATTTGCGCCCCCTACTATCGTTGGTGACGTGTTAGGCCCCTCTCGTGTGGGCCCTGGGACACAGCGCCGCCAGCCCTGCCTTATATCGGGCCCTGTAACCTACATTTAAGAGATCTTTTTCTAATGATTGGAGCGGTAGGTTGTGCCCTAACTGGGCATAACGGATTTCCCGCTTGAATTTAAGTGCTCGTTTGGGGAAGCAACCTCCATTATTTGACGACCTCCTTGGCCGAGTGGTTTGTACGCCGAGTTTCAAGGTGTCGCCTACTCGAGAGGTCCCGCGTTCGAATTCTGGTTGAAGCAGATGTTTGTGTGATGAATACGAGTACATATTTGTTCTCCAGTCATGGATGTTTACATATAAATGTACTTATATATGTATTCTATCCGTTACCCTAATATCCCTTAACACAAGCTTACAGTGCTTACTTTGGGGCTAGGCTAATTGGCGTGAGTGTTGGAAATATTTATTTATTTTCGGTCAATGCCTCAGATGACAATGAAATGCGTTTTGGTGGTGAAGTTTTCAGCCAGTGAGTAAGGTTCCAGGCCTCATTAATATTATCTATATTATTGATTTATAAATTATATGTCTACGAGTAACTATAATAAAGAAAAAATGGTTTCCGACACAAACTTCCACCTCTCTTTTCACCCCCTCAAAAGGTAATTTCTAGGATAAATACTATCATACTTTCCCGTGAATCTACCTATAGGTATATCAACCAAAATTAATTTAAATCGATTCAGCAATTTAAGCCTGAAGAGTTAACAGACAACCACACTTTCGCATTTATAATATGAAGTATGGATTAACTTGCTAATTTGTAACAAAATAAAAAAAGACTGATAATCTAACATGCTAGTAGTTAATTAATACTTCAATATCAGGAAGAAAGCATAGCACTTTTTATTGAAGTTCAACTACATAATCGATCACACGATTGTTTGGTAAATTACTGCTGGTTTTATTTGTATTGTTTTTAGGCACGAATTTAATTGAGTAAGTTGCTATTTCATAAAAAATATGAGTAATAAGTATGATAATTGTTATTTAAAAACAATTCTACTCTACCTGTAAGTGCTTTTTTGAATTCACAATTTTCAAATTCAATTCTTCATAACCGCCCTGAAAACTAGCCTTGAATAATTTTGCACATTTACTTACGTTCATTTTTCACTGGTGTAAATACTCGAGTATGTAGGTATCCGATCCGATACCGCAACTGGTTTCACAGATCACAAAACTTTCAATTTCTTTTTTCCTCTGCTTTTTACTGTCTCTTTTTTATTACTCGAAATTCGAAAATTAAAAAATAACAACTTGCTGGCGAAACCCGTTCGGATACTGCAATGGCGGCATGCGTGAATGCGCCTTGGAAGTATTGTGGCGACTGAAAGCCAGCTGTTAAAAATTAACTTTCTCGTACGACCGCGTTTTTGAGCCGCGCTCGCTTGGTAAGCAAGGGAAGGCGCAGTTGTCGCCAAGCCGCCACCGCCATTTCTTTTTGTTTACACTCAATAATTAGATCATACGTGAAGCAGTTTCTTAACTCAATATTGGTGTCACACAAATTTAATTTCACGCTGACCTTTCTTACAGCTCAACGCCGAAGAGGCTAACACGTTCGGTTCGGTCTGCGATTGTAACGGTTAAGCAATTTTCGTAATGGCCGGCCGTAGGATGGGGAACCGAACGATTTACGAGTTCTTCCATACTTTGGGAGGCATGTTAAGGCATTGCTCCGTTTTTTCGATAACAGGGAGAATTAAATATATAAATATATCCACACAAAATCACCAACGCTTCGCCCAGCGGGAGTGGTCCGAGTGTAGCTCCTTGGCCTAGCTAGCTGCATCTACAGTAAACAGCCACTAATTCGCGCTAGACCCTATACGGTTTTGTCTATTTTCCGCTCATTTAGTAAAGGCCTGAACCCCATAATTTTATCTCTGGTCTGGTTTACATTAAACCGCTTGTAATGAAGTGATGTAAATAAGACGCAATGAAGATACCCATCTCTGCCTCTCTCTGCTTGAATGCCGGGTTTCATGGTGTCGCCGTCTCGGGCGGTCCCGGGTTCGAATCCCGGTCGGGACAGATGTTTGTGTGATAAATACGAGCATTTGTACTCTAGTCATGGATGTTTAATATGTATTTCTGAATATATAAACTTCCTTATGTACAGTATGTATTATATCCATTACCCTAGTATCCCATAACACAAGCTTTACAGTGCTTACTTTGGGGCTAGGCTAATACAGTCATCTAGAAAAAAAACCCAAAAGGGAGAATAACTCTTCAGAACACTCACCGTGGTATAGTCGGTAGAATGCGCTAAATGATGCCACATCGCGGCGTGATTGTAGAGACCCGAGTTTGTTAGTTACTGCTTCATCACCAATGATGCGGCAGCGCGCCGATGCAACCTATCCAAGGCATCGAGTAAGTATTTAGCGGAGCTATCCCAGAGGTGCGAGCAATATTTCACGCAGGACCGCACTTGCTTTTTGTACAACAAGCACAGTTGATCAGGTGTGAAAAAACGCCACACCTTGGTCAGAACTCCGAGCATGCATGAAGCTATTTTGATCATGGTTTCGATGAAGTCCTTTGGATTCAGGTTTGAGCTAACTTTCATACCTAGCATGGTGATGTTTCTCTGTAGCGCCAGTGATGTGTCCTGAAGAGAGGGAAGGAAAAGGAACGGCGATGATTTTGCCATGAAAACCGTACCCCTAGCACGAACCAATATCGAATTCGAATACTTTGCGAGTCCGAAATGTCATTGTCAAATTTTGTATGGAAACCTAAACAGCAGCGCCATAATGAACGTAACGAGAACTAAAAATCAGTACACATTTGATAATGACATTTCGGACTCGTAAACTATTTGAATTCGATATTGGTGCGTGCTAAGGCTACCGAACCCTAAAACTGGTAGATTCACCGTCTCCTGTTCTTTGTAGCTATATCGAATCCTCCAAGAGATGAGGACGCAAACATAAGAATCCATGTACCTTCTTACTTCATCCTTTCTTTGTGAAGACAATAGGACGTAAAAAAAACTCTGAAGCCATTTCCTCGTGAAGTATTCATTCAATGTATTGATCAGAAATCGGTTTGTTTTGGTTCGATGGCAAACGTCAACATTTCCAGAAATAATGTGATGTTTATAAACGCATCTGAATGATTTGAGAAATGATAATATTATGTATCTGTTACGTTCTACATAACGCTGACAATAACAATTCTCTCAAATCATGCGAACGTCCATTTAGGCCCGTATTATAAAAAGATTCTCAGTGATTGTCTAGTCTTGAGCATAGTTAGAAAGGGATGTCGCTATATATAGCGCATAGCGACATCCCTTTCTAAATGTACTCAAGTAAAGATCAACACTTAGTTGTCATTCTGTAATACGGGCCTTAGTGTCGCCGCACACGGGCCACACGCCACAGCCACAAACACCGCCGCGAGTGTGTGGCGAGTCCATATAAAATGTATGAGAACTACAAGAAATATACCGGTGGCGGCGTTTTGTGGTTGTGGTCGGTGGCCCGTGTGCGGCGACACTTAGGGTTCACCAAAGCCCCACTAAACGTCAATTAAATTTAATGCTTTTCAAGTGACGCGTTGTCTCATTTCATTGCTATCATAGTGTCGCCGTACACGGGCCACCGACCACAACCACAAAACGCCGCCACCGGCATATTTCTTGTAGTTTTCATACGTTTTATATGGGCTCGCCACATACGGTACGCCGGTGACCGCCACACGCTACAAATCGTCGTTGCTCGCTTCTTGTGGCCCGCACCTTCCACTTAATGCGCCGATACAAAACGCCACCACACGTCGCTCGCGCGCTGTCGCCGCTGTCGCGCGCTTCAGCCACTTTAGTAGCCGCTTCTAGCTTCTCGTGGCGACGTTTGTTGCTGTGGCGTGTGGCCCGTGTGTGGCGACACGTAGATCTATATCTTTACAGAATTAAGGCATAGCAGATTTCCCGCTCGTATTGGAGCTCCCCTATAGGGCAGTAACCATGTTACCTAGAAGACCACAGTAAAAACACACTACCGATTGGTAGTGTTGTGTTTCTATTTCTCTTCGTAATTAAGGTTCTAGGGCTCCATAGGGGCAAAGTATGCAATGGTGCGAGTGATATTTTTGGTATCGCAAGATTCTATAGGCTATGGTGGTACGCGGACTCTCTCCGACGTAGGAGGGTGAGGGAAGGAGACGGGGGAACACCCTTCATCTTCAGGCTCTTCCCGGCAGAAGCCTGCGGGATCTGGACTTGGGAGGTTCAGATCCTGCCTTGCACAGGTCTTTGATGATGCCTGGGGATGCCCATGATGCTCCGGGGCATCCCCAACACTCTCCTCTTTTCGGGAGAGACGGATGTATCCCTTCGATTAGGGCGATCACTGGAGACTCCGGATGAGTTACCGTGGCCTCATCTAGTGCAGTTGTCTTTTGTCCGAGTAAGTTGAGGGGCTTTGTCAGGTTTTAGTGGGTAGCCCCCCCCCCCCCTCTTTAAACGGTCGCTGAGCTAATCCCGTTGCCGCTCCCAGGTGCCGGAGTATGCATCACACATTTTCCTGACAGAAATTAAAGCTTTTGGGGGCTGCTTACCATTAGGCGGGCCATATGCATGCTTGCCACCCTTTTAACATAAAAAAATAACGCTAAGGAAGTGCCCCATCAACTTAAATGAAACTTCTGGCTAGACGCTTGCGATGCCAGAGTACCACTTGCGGAATTACCAATCCTTCCGGCTAATCGCTAACTTTTTTGACATTTACACTGTGTAACTACAGAGAAAATGGCATTTCCATCAATGCTTTTCAGAACAAGTATCTTGAGTGGCGTTACACAGTCAGGTCATAAGTATTGTCACACAGTAAAAGCTTTTCTTTTAGAATGCGGGCCACCAAAAAGTTTATTGAATTCGAATTCCGAATTGTTCATGAAAATAAAAATGTATCCTTTTTAAAATTTTACTCATATTTAAATATGGAGTGGACGCTTAAAGAAGACCGTGTTGCAGTTATTGCGTTGCATCGTTGCGGTTACGCACCAATTAAAATTTTTGACATACTGAAAAATTTGAATATAACTAAAAGATTCGTTTATCGTATCATCAAACGATACAATGAAGACTCTAGTGTAGATGACAGGTCAAGAAGTGGTCGCCCTCGGTCTGTTAGGACTCCAGCAGTGGTTAAAGCTGTGAAGGTGCGAATTCATAGAAATCCCAAACGTAAGCAGAAACTGTTGGCCCTTCAGTTGGGGTTAAGCAGAACCACGGTGAAAAGGGTGTTAAATGAAGACTTCGGGCTTCGGGCATATCGAAGAAAAACGGGACATCGTTTGAATGCTCGTCTAATGGACCTGAGACTGAAGAGATGCCTCGCTTTGTTGAAGCGGTACGCAGGAAAAAAATATCGGGCAATTCTTTTTTCAGATGAAAAAATTTTTACCGTAGAAGAGAGCTACAACAAACAAAATGATAAGGTGTACGCACACAGTAGTGAAGAAGCGAGCAACCGTATTCCGCGTGTCCAACAAGGTCATTTTCCATCCTTGCTCATGGCATGGTTGGGAGTTTCTTATTGGGGCTTAACAGAGGTACATTTTTGTGAGAAAGGTGTACAAACGATTGCAGTTGTGTATCAAAATATAGTCCTGACGAACCTTGTGGAACCTGTTTCTCATACCATGTTCAATAACAGGCACTGGGTATTCTAACAAGATTCGGCGCCAGCTCATAGAGGGAAGAACACACAAGACTGGCTGGCGGCGCGTCAAATCGACTTCATCCGGCACGAAAACTGGCCCTCCTCCAGTCCAGATTTGAGTCTGTTAGATTACAAGATATGGCAACACTTGTAGGACAAGGCGTGCTCAAAGCCTCATCCCAATTTGGTGACACTCAAGACATCCTTGATTAAGGCAGCCGCCGATATTGACATGGACCTCATTCGTGCTGCGATAGACGACTGGCCGCGCAGATTGAAGGCCTGTATTCAAAAACATTTTCAGGTTAGCGCGTACGGCTGCGATCGTTGAACTGAGGAGCTCGATGGCGCAAGTGGTTAGCGCGTACGGCTGCGATCGTTGAACTTAAGCAACTCTCGCAGTAGTCGGTCATTGGATGGGTGACCAAAAATTACTATCTCAAGCTCCTCCGTGCTTCGGAAGGCACGTTAAGCCGTTGGTCCCGGCTGCATCTGCAGTCGTTAGCACCTACCAATCCGCACTGGGGCCGCGTGGTGGGTCATGGCCCAATCTCCCTATTCCATCCATAGGGAAGGCCTCTGCCTCAGCAGTGGGGACATTAATAGGCTGATGATGGTGGATTCAAAAACACGGAGGTCATTTTGAATAAACTTTATTGTCATAAGTTTTTCTTTCATAAGAATCTATGTTTTGTTAAGTTCATTTTGGTATATAAATGGTTACATAATGAATAAACTTGATTCTATTTTATATATAACATGTGACAGAATTTATGAACTGACTAGGTAATGAAGCAGTAGTGGATTACTAAATAGCGCGGTGATTATCACTTCCATCCACAAACACAGCGAATAGGCCTATTGAAGTTATCTCTTACTATGTAGAGCCCAGGAACCTTCATCATCATCAGCTTATTAATATTCCCCACAGGCTTTCCCTATGGATGGAATAGGAAAAATGGGCCACGACCCACCACGCTAGCCCAGGATCCTTACTCATCGACAAACATTTTATTCAGTAATGTTATTACTTCCCCAGACAGGTGCTCAGTTTGAGCGTAAAACCAGCCAAGCTCAATCTTTCTTAAAATTTGTTTTATCTTCTCCATTGTTTTAGTAAGAGAGGCCAAGAACCTATATTTTTTTGCGAGTAGTTGAAAACGAGTCTTATAAAAATTGGCTCCATTCAGTTTCAAATTTCCTCTTTATGTTTTAGTTGAATAATAACACGAGGCCATTTTTGTTTGGCCTCACCCTTTATGATTGTGTATGAAGTTTCATTGATGGGATGTTGCTCGTCAATCTAACTGCCTTTATCCTATCATGCACTTGAAATAATTACGATATTCAATGCGAGAAACTAAACAAATTTATGTAGTTACATATTTTTGTTAGATACAGAGGGCGCAAACATTTGATCACACCACATAATGACTAGATCGCAAAATGTCTGGATTTGTTTTTGACTACCTACATATAATCGTATCGTCTTCGTCAATTTTTTTCGAAGGAGTCAGTTTGTTCTTATTCCGGTACTGCTTAGTTTTCATAGAAGCTTTGACGATGAATTACGATTTTAAGTAGTCACAAACAAATCCAGACATTTTGCGATCTAGTCATTATGTGATGTGGTCAAATAAAGATCTAATCATTTTGCGATCTAGTTATTATGGGATGTTGTAAATTAAAGATCTAGACGAAATGATACTTTGCTGCCATTTTGCGATAAGGTCATTCATTTAATGGAAGCGTTACAATGCGAGCTAGACAAACTGAGATGAACCCTTATGAAGCTTTCAAAATTTGTGCTTGAGCTTATGTAGGTACATATTGAAGTGTCGTGTTTATTATCGTAGAATAACTTATGATCTATCTGTCCATCTGGGATCTGGATAATAATCACCTGGAGGAAATGTAATCCCTAAAAGCTATAGAAAATTTCGAGTTTTTGGAAGTTACTTAGTTAAGAGAGATATTTACTGTAAGTGATAGTCCCAACAGAATTCATTGGTGTGTACCGTGAATACATTTTTTTTATTGCCTTGATAAGGCAGACGAGCTGGTGGGCCCACCTGATGTTAAGTGGTCACCGTCACCCATGGACATCAACAATGCCAGTGACACTGCTACAGAAGACAGAAAGAGGTTTGAAGGGCCTTGTGGGCGGGGCAGGCGCGCCTCAGTTATGTGTAAGCAAATGCTCATAACTTGACCAAAACTTTGTTTTGTCGTTGCTCTCGGGTGTGAGCGCTGATTGGTTCGACTTTTTGATGTCGTGTCGTTGGATTGGCTATTATCTATTGGGTGGAGGTGTAGTGGAGACAAGCCGGCGAAATCGGAACCCGTACAAATGGTTTCTAATCACCCTTCTAACTTCTGTGTTTTGTGGACACAGGCACAGGCAGGCCTAGTTTGAAGAAGCCGTGCTATAGCACTAAGAGACTACCATGTAGAGGAGCTCATTCCATAACATTTTTGTATGTGGATGAAAAAATCTCTGGAAAGAACAAATACAGCACTACAAATATGTAACCGCAAAGCTCAAAAATCTTAAAATACGATCCAGCTCGAAGGAACAAAATCGTTTACGATAAAATTTCTATAATATTGATCCTATACAAGTCAAGCAATGTTCGGCCATAAGATGGGTAGGTAGCCAACAATAGCGATGATGACAGGGTGAAGTTAACGAAATTCTATTTAACACTGGATTGGCGAGTGGTATATAAATATTACTAACTTCGTTCCAATCGAGGGTCCTTGACACTCAAGTTCTTTTTGGTTACTACAAACAATTTTGTATTAGGTTTAATTTCTGCAAACGGAACCATTTCCACGCGAGTTACTCTCGCACCAGTGGCGTAGCGTGCCTTGACGGGGCCCCGTATAAAAATTTGTTTGGGGGCCCTTAGGAAGGGTAAAGAATTCTCACAAAAGAAAAAATGCTTGCATAAAATTAAAAGAATTATTTATTCATCATAATTATCTATCTGTCACTTTCGTCCGTCGTAGGCAGTTATTTCAAGGACAGGGCCGAGTCACAATGCTGTATTGATAATATTACCGTGCTAAGGGCCTCTTGTGTGTTATTCAAATTCTCATTGAATTTTATGCTGCTGCAAGAGTTAATATGCGTGTAGGTACGTGTTGGCGATTTCGAGTCTTATAAAATAATTATTAATGAACTAATTATATAAATATATACATATTTCAGTAGATCAATGATGGTAGATTAGTTTTATGAAAGTTTTAGATAGTAATTCTATTTAATTCAATATCAAAATACGAGGTAAACCTGCATTATTTTTTGGGAAAACTCAAGGAGGTTAGATGTTTTTTTTGATATTTAATGAGATGTAAAATCTAAATTCTAATACATTATGTTACAACAAAAACATATTTCTGATGTCGTAGTAATTATTTTGATCTAATTAATTGAACATTATTGAGAGATTAAGGAGTTTGAAGTTGTGCATATTATCGTTTTTTCCGCAAACTAGCTGCAGTAGAGCGATCAGTACAAAAAAGGAGATAAGTATTTGCAAATATTCTACATTAACTTACAAAAGGAAGAATAAATCTACTGTTTACTTCTATCGGAAATAGTCAAAATCTCTTCTAAGGGGGTAAGCGAGGCGCTCAAATATTGCGATTTATTGCAAAAATGTGAAAGGGCTCTAAAACGTTTAACGAAAAGTAGGCGAAATAAAATAACAACATACCCATATGCCATAGCGTTATATTAGTAAGTTATTATATGTAAGCATACAAGTGATATTAATTGTAATAGACTTACAAACGTATCATATAACATGGATAATAATATTAGGGTACAGTAGGGTGTGTGCCAGCACAATTTTAAATATCACTTAATTTAAATAATACATACTGTAAATATTAATGCGCATTTTTTTAAATTAGTGAAGCGATAAGTATTTAGTATGAACTCGAGTAATCGTACATGTTTAATTAAACAATTTAAACAATAGTCTTAAAGCTAAGTTCCTTTAAATTGTTGTTTTGAAGAATTCATTCCTGAAAAACTTTCAGGCAAATTTAAGTTAAAATACACGTTTACCGTGTTACGCAAACTTTTTATTCTGTAAAAATTGCTAAAGAAGAACACAAGGCCTTTTTGTTGTGATTTTAAATAGAAGTTATATCAATGTCCAAGCATAACAAGAATATTTTATATTCAATAATATTTTCTGGTTTTTATACTGATTTCAGATAGTACTGCATGGAGGCAAAATAAATCTACTAATTTTAGTTCGAGAAAGACGTTAAAATGAATGTTATGCACTCTCAATGCTTGAATGTTTTTGCACACAAGAATGTTTACTGAGATTACGAGAAAATGAAAAACGTATTATGAAATTAAATCAGAGAAAGCCAAAACTGGTTGACCGAAAAAAAATCTTTATTATATTGATATCTATGATTTAAAAACTTAGAACAATAATAATGAAATAGCGAAAAGTCTACATAGAAAAAATATGTTCCTACTGAACCCTTTACAAGTAATTGTATAGTAATGTTTGTGACGATGTTTTCCTTAGCGTCTGGTGACCGGTTGCCAGTCGTCACCGTCGGGATCGCGAGCTGAAACAAGAAATAAAATTAATCAGGTATATAAAGAAGATTTCGCTACAAACTTAAATTCAGCCTTGCCGTCACCATTCATTTATTACGTAAGACTATTTTCGCCAGTTTTTTACTACCCCTACCCCCTACACGTAAAAAAAAAGAATAGTCCAACAGCCAGTCCTTGTTTCATATTTATTACTTAAGCATCATAAGGAATTAATTAATACATACACGTTAGATTTTTTCTTAGTTTATTTTTAAAGTACCAATTCTTAGGAATATTTTGTTGTACCTACAAAGGTGCTAGTAATTTTTATTATTTGGTAGTAATAAACTACTACTATTTCAAACTATAATCTTTACTTTGTGCATTTTTTGTAATCTTACGTAAGAACTATTGAGATACCCTCCCACCCTGTAAGAAAAACTTTGACATAGTCATGCAGCTCTCCCCCTAAATCGCCTTACGTAATAAATGAATGGCCCTTAGTACCTTACCCTTAACACGAACCAATATCGAATTCTAATAGTTAATTTAATCTCGATACGCGTTTAATATCAAGATGTATTGTATGAAAATTTGAATAGCGCCACAAGGAACGTAACGAGAAATAAAAATCTCCCATACACCGTGACATTTAAACTATTCGAATTCGATATTAGTTCGTTCTAATGGTGCGTGTATAAAACGGGATATACAGGATGGTTATTTGTAAAACACCAACAAGGTGCGGTCAAAAATAGCCAGATGAATTCGAATGAGAAACGATACCGGACCGATGGACTGAATTTAAGAGTTATGAGTTAACTCTTCTTTGTATCAAATTTCAAAAATTTTCACCAGTATACAACTTAATATACTTCTTATTAACTGCAGCCGATTGCAGTAGTGTATATCAATTTGTAATTTGTTTTGCATGTGTGCTTCGAATTAGAAACGATATGAAATAAAAACTGCACTATAAAGAGTTTCTACGCAAATTGAGATCAAGTGGGCGTGACGAAAAAAATACGATTAACACACTGATCATGGGATTGGTTGGGATTTCCGTTTAACATTATCTTACCCAATGAATGGATAGCTGAATTCATTTGCAGATATTTATTTGTCAAATTATTTTGTTTTTGTCTGTGTGCGTGTCGCGTTAGTATTGAAGTTTAGTTATATGAGTTTGGAACCATGTTTTAATGGCCTTTGTTCGAGTGAGAATAATGCTTCCATATCATTTCTTATTCAATGGTTGGTATTCCCCATTGGGTTTACATTTTTCTTGTATTAATTGGTTTTATTTTTTTAAATCGTGAAATGAAAGACAGGTTGAATATAAAACCATGTAACTCTAGCCCCCTTATTAATAAACGACGAATGACATTAGATTAGTTACTCTATGTTTTGTCTCTGTTTATTGAATTACAAATGTCACTTGAGTGACATGAACAAAACACGGTGTAACTAGTCTAAGCTTATTCGTCGTTTATTAATAACGGGGTAATTGTTCTCGATTCTATTAACACAAATCTCACATGCAGTGGGATTCGTCGTGTCTCACCAGTATTGTTTTCCCTCCGAGGCCTACCGCCATAAAATTATAGATGAACTTTAAGCGGGATTATATTCGGAGGATGTACAGTCAATCATACGTCAAATTACCACGAGATTACAATTTTATTTTATTATTCAATTTTGAATCGTATATAAACCTTTATGTGAAGTTAGCAGCGAGCGCAACTATGCGCTGGTTTCAGTTTTGTGAAACTATAGACGTAGAATGAATTGACTGAGTATACTTAGGAATTTATTCGTAAGTGCGCGATTACCATTGGTCGTTAAACCCGAATACGAGTGCCAATGCAATTCAGGTAAACGACGAAGTGTAAATGAACGGAGTCGAGTATAACGCGATTCAACTAAGAATAGGACCGACTGGGCGCCATATTGTGGAGTCATAGCTGTCAATTCAAACCGAATAGGTAGAGTGAGCAAAAAAGTTTTTATTTAATAAAACTTATTAACTAAGATTAATTGAGAAAAAACATCAAATTTTACCGTCGGAGTAGTTATGAATAATCATGCACTATTACTGGATCACATACGAACATACATCCTTAATGTAAACGAAAGTTTTAAATCGAGTTTCTGGACGCAACTTAAAGTGACATTAGGTTGACGAGTTAGGTTATCAACCATTCATAGCTAGAGCGATTCAACCAATATTAATTATCAAAATTTGTTATTGTTTGTTTACAAATGTTTGATTTTTATTCTAGAATTAGCAGAATGCTAAAAAAGGGTTGCAAGATTTTTTTGCAAACCGTACTTTTCAAGCGACTTTTGACAGATAGAGGTCATTGGCTTTAATATTCTTATTTGAATCGCACTATACGCCTATTACACACACGTATAAAGAAGAATAATTCCTTCATCGAAACTAGTTACGTACAAGGAATAATAATTCCTTCATCGAAACCAGTTACGAAACTACGGTTTCGTAGGCGGCCGAAAGGGTTCGGAAGATTATTATATAGTAACTAGCGGCCGCCCCCGACTTCATACGCGTGGAGTTAGTTAGAAATAAAGGTTCACTGCTCGTTCCCCGTAGGTGATAGTGTGATAATATGTGGCCTATATATTGACCCGACTTCTTAACAATATTCGTGCGAAATTTCAAGTAAATTCATGCAGTGCTCTTTCAGTTTATCCCGGACATACATACAGACGAATAGACAAAAATTCTAAAAACTATATTTTTGGCTTCGGTAATTTAAATACTCACGTTTCTCATCGCGTCTGGGCGGTGGTGGGCCGCGTCGCTCGCGATCGTCGCGTCGCGGGGCGTCGCGTTCATCGCGCCTTGGTCCGTCGCTGAGTAAGCAAATGGATCAAACTTTATAACTAAACAAAATTCCTCTAGGGACAGCAAAATATTGGAATAGATGCAGAAAACGCACACACGCAGTGATTATAGAAGTATAGTTTCTTTGATAGAAGTTCACAAGTAATATGTATTGGAGTCAGATTGTAAGAGCTTTTTCCATTGCATCCATTTTTTTCTAAGGAATTAATGTACAATTAAATACATTTTTTTATAAGAATTAACGATATTTTAACCTTAAAATAGGTAAGCAAATTCTACTAGAATGAAATTAGAAATTAATTTATTACAATGAAAAGAAAGAAAAAACATTCATTGACGATATACATTAACTGACACAATTACAATAAACATAAGGCAAAAGGTAAATCGTCAACTAGTCCACACCTCAGCATAATGTTGCAACGGCAAAATGATTGCCAATGCTGATATTCTCTGGAGGGACCTAGTTTGGACATTCACGGACAGATATACAAGACAATCATTTCAGTATAACAAAAGAAAAAAAGAATTATTAATTAAATTTATCATATACATAATAATATAAAAAACAAAAACAATCTTGATTTTGCATCTTTTGTCTTAGCTAGACAAGGATGTAAAGAAAAATAAAAAAAGAATCAATCAATCATTTATTGCATGTCATGTATTAAGAATGGAATTGTTTCAAGTAAAATTTTCTTTAGATTTATAAATCTAGGAGTTAAATGCTTCACACATTGCAGGTAATAGTTTTAATGTTATACCTGAGAAAACTGATATTGATTAATAAATAATAATAATAACTATGACGACCTCCGTGGCCGAGTGGTTTGTACGCCGGGTTTCATGGCTGTCGCCGACTCGAGAGGTCTCGGGTTCGAATCCCGGTGGGGGCAGATGTTTGTGTGATGAACACGAGCATTTGTACTCCAGTCATGGATGTTTAATATGTATTTATATAAATATACTTATATATGTACAGTATATGTATTCTATCCGTTACCCTAGCATCCCATAGCACAAGCCTTATAGTGCTTACTTTGGGGCTAGGCTAAATGGTGTGAGTGTCGGAATTATTTATTATTATTATTATTAAAAAAAATGGCTTTTTGTTTTTATTATTTTTATTAATAGCTGTTGGTCTTCCAAAAAATAAATAAATGAACACTCACCGATCGTCCCTCCTGGGTCCATCATCGCGACGGGCGGGCGGGTAGCGGTCGCGGTCTCTATCGCGGTCACCGAACCCACGGTCGCGGTCACCGCGCGGCGGATCGCGGTCACGGAACTCGCGGTCGCGGTCACCGCGCGGCGGGTCGCGGTCGCGGAACTCGCGGTCGCCGCGAGGCGCGTCGCGGTAGCGTTCGTCGCGCTCCCGAGGAGCTCCTCCTTCCTTGAAGCGCCATGTGTTGGAAGAGCGATCCTGTGGGGAAGAGTTTTATATTCAAAATGATTTCTTCAGGCTAGGGTTCACCCATAAAGTAAGTCACAAGGTACCACCTTAACGAGAGGGTCAGCCAGTGCCGTCTTTGACCTATTGGAGGCCCTGGGCATATTAGGATAATGGGGCCCTTATGACCCACCGTTTGGTGATCTAACAAGAACTAGGGACTTTGTATTTGTGATCTGAGGTGCCCACCTATCGATCACGGGGCCCTGGGCACTTGCCCAAAGTGCCCAATGGGAAAGACGGGTCTGGGGTCTACAAAGTATAACATTGTTTGACAAGGGGTAGGAGGGCTCCTAAGTTTATAGACGACACATACCAAAATCTTGTTTATATTGAAAAGAAACAAGGGAGGGCCGGGTTTTATTTTAATGGCAAGAGATATATCTTTGTGAAATCGTGTTTTTATAAAGAAATTACTTTCTTTAATGACGCATGTTATATGTTTGTGAAATTGTGTTTTTTATAATGATATAACTTCTTTAAAGACACGAGTTATAATGTCTATAAAATTGTGTTTTTAGGGTTCCGTACCTCAAAAGGAAAAACGGAACCCTTATAGGATCACTTTGTTGTCCGTCTGTCCGTCCGTCCGTCTGTCAAGACCCTTTTTCTCAGGAACGCGTGGAGGTATGAAGCTGAAATTTATATCAATTACTCAGGTCTACTGTCCCTTGAAGCTGTGAAAAAATCAAACTTCTAAGCCAACGCAATCAAAAGATACAGCCGTTTATGCCGCAAATTTTCGACACTTGCAAGGGAATCAAAACCTACAGGGTGCTTCCCGTGAACTCAGAATCTTGAAATTTGGTACCAAGCAACGTCTTATAGCATAGATAAAGGAAAAATTACGAAAACCATAAATTTTTAGTTACATCACATAATATATTTTTTTTTAATAATTTTAACCTTACTACCCATTTCCTCATAAACGCGTAGAGGTATTAAATTGAAATTCATACCAAATACTCAGGTCTATAATACCTTTAAGCTGTAACAAAATCAAACTTCTATGTCAACGCAATCAAAAGAAACAGCAATTTAAGCTGCATATTTTGAAACTCGCAAGTACTCGCAAGGGAATCAAAACCTAAAGGGTACTTCCAGTCGACCTAGAATCTTGAAATTTGGCATGAAGCAACGTTTTATAGCACACATAAAGGAAAAATTCCGAAAACCTTAAATTTTTAGTTACATTACAAAATATATATTTTTTAATAAATATAAACTTATTACTTTTTTCCTCATGAACGCGTAGAGCTATCAAGTTGAAATTCATATCAAATACTTAGATCTAATTGCCTTTAACCCGTGAAAAAAAAAAAATTCTAAGTCAACGCAAAAACGCAAAACGCAAAAGTACAACCATATTACTTAAACGATAAAGAGATCTTTGTCTTAAATTTATGCTCCTCCATCTTTCCCCATTGTAATGTTATGAATTTCATTTTGCAATAAAAATACCATAGTTATGACTCGATTGTCGTAATGAACGAACTTTGTAAACCTTGCAGGTTTGTACGGAACCCTCGGTGCGCGAGTCCGACTTGCACTTGGCCGGTTTTTTTTATAATGATATAACTTCTTCAAAGACACATGCAATATGTTTGTGAAATTGTGTTCTTATAGTGATATTACCTGGCTCGGCAAACTTCGTACCGCAGTAATAATTTGCAATAAAATAATATTTTAAAATGTGATGTAAGCAATCAACATGCACACGGTGTTCAAATTTTCTTAAAATCGGTCAAGTAGTTTAGGAATCCATACCGGATAAACAACATGACGCGTAATTAATATACGAGAGTATATTAAGATTATTTTCTTTAATGGCACGAGTTATGTTTGTGAAATTGTGTCGTAATAAAGATATTCCTTTCTTTAATGACACGAGCTATATATTTGAGGAGCTCGATGGCGCAGGTGGTTAGCACGTTCGGCTGCGATCGCTAAGGTTAAGCAACTTTCGCAGTGGTCGGTCATTGGATGGGTGACCAAAAATCTTCTATCTCGAGTTCCTGCGTGCTCCGGAAGGCACGTTAAGCAGTTGGTCCCGGCTGCATGTGTAGTCGTTAGCAGGTCATGGCCCAATCTGCCTATTCCATCCATTGGGAAGGCCTGTGCCCCAGTAGTGGGGACATTAATAGGCTGATGATGATGATGATATATTTGTGATAATGTATTTTCATAAAGATACTCACCCCTGTGGCAGGCGCTGCAGGTTCTGCGGGCCCGCGTCGCCAGCTGCTTCCACTCTCCGGCCCGCTGGAACGGCCCGTGTATCGAGGCCTAAACAATTCAAATACAAACAATAATAAAAACACGTTAGCTAAAAACAACGTTTTTTTATATATTTGGATCAACAAACAGTTTCACAAAATATTTTTTTAAAAATAATAACAATAACATGGTTTAGGTATTTGTGAAACCAACACCGTGTACCACAGATAGTTAAATAAATAGTTTTTTTTACACCCTATTGAAGCAGATATTCTATATATATTTTATTCACTCTTCATTTCGTCTTCGTCCTTCTTCGTTTCAACGTCCAATAGATTGCTGTAACCTAACCCATCCCAAGGAGGGGGGACCGGTGCTCTGAAATACAAGCTCGGCTTAGTTCAGATACCGACCTCTCATGACATCAGGTATGCAATGATACTCATACTACGATTGTTAAATGTCTATCCATCCATATGCCTATAAAAATGTAATTAGTTATTTAAAAAAAATGTTGTTGATGCCAAACGAGAAATAAACGATTATTTATTATTTAATGTACATATCGCACCTCCGATCAAATACAATAAGAAGTTATAAATCTTTATTTAAGCGTTTTTATAAAGATTGAAATTATTATTTACCTCTCTCTATCAGGTTCCCGGTTAGTAGACCGCCAGGCACCGTCGTCTCGTGGCCTATCGTCTCTTGGTCTATCGTCCCTTGGCCTGTCGTCCCTTGGCCTGTCATCCCTTGGCCTATCGTCCCTTGGTCGTTCATCGCGTGGACGCTCATCACGGGACCGCTCGATAGGACGATCGTCACGTCTAAAATTTACATTTATTTATTAATAGCAAGATCTACTGTCAATTTAAATAGGCTATGTGACAGTATGAAAAATAATATACCAATTGTTGGCATCTTTATTTAATATGAATATTAGCAACGATTTTACTATTCGGAAAGAACAAATAATTAATAAAGAACAAATGATTTTTTGCTCCATGGTCACGTGACCGAAAACGCCTAGGTTTGGCCAAGACTAAAATGACGTCAAACGCTAATATACTTCCGGCCAAAGTGACATTACATTGTATCGTTTGGCGTTTTAATGACAGTCGTACATCACACACAAGTGAGGCACCACAATGTCCAGAGAAACGGTGTTCGCGGCAACTTGAAAATTGATTTTTTATCTTGTTACTTAATCACGCAAAAACCACTGAACGAATTTAGATAAAATTTACACGCATATAGTTGACACGTCGGGGCTGATCAGATACGCGCTGCTCTTTATACCACAGTTCACGATGCTCTATATTTGACAGCAGATAAGTCAAGTAATCGGCGGTCAAGAAATCAGTTTTACTGCCACGTGTCACGACCCTCACCAATGAGGAAACAGAAGCAAGGAGGAGGATATTTTATGACCTACATTGAGACATAGGATACTTTTTATAACGGAAAAGTGTTAGAAAAATGTTTTTGTGGGTTTCTTAAGATGGCGGCTATACAGGCTGTTACAGAATTCCGAAATAAAATTTGTAGGTATGTATTCCGAAATAAAAATTTTTAGGTATCTGAGCGGGGCGCAGGGGCGCCTGAGGGAGAGAGGGGCGTCTGTTTAGGTAGTAGTAATCGTACGCATTTATAGGGTTGTCATAGGCAGGTGTAAAACGATATTCTTATTAATTTAATTATAAAATAAAAGTGGTCTGAAAGGCGTCATACTTTCGTAGTTAATTCTATACAAGGAACACAACCAAACCCTAATGTTTTATTTCGGACTTTTGTCACACCCTGTATATATAAATAATAAATAAATAAATAATGGTGGCGTTTCTGGCATGATTCTCTAAAATTAAAACTAAATTTAACATCCAGTCTATCCTTTTCATTTTGTTAAGAGAATGACTAAGATTTTTTTAAGAATTAAGATGATGATGAATAAAGTTTAGAGAATCATGCCAGAATAGACACCAATATATATTATGAAGTAATAATAATAATAATAATAATAATAATTCATTTATTGTGGAGCATAGGTACAATAATGGGGTGTTACATCAGTACATACAGTTCAGCTATGTCCTGCCATAAGGCGTACAATTATTAATAATAACATTAGATGTCACAAGTTAAATCAATATTATTTTAAATGTCAATTAAGTTTATTTCCATATCGTTTTATTCATGTCAAGTGGTACCCAGAATGTTATTGTTAAATTTCTTTGTCAGATAAAAATTCCTTAATTGTGTAGTAGCATTTGTCAACTAAGAAATTCTTTAACATATGCTTGAAACTGAGGACATTCTCATTACTTCTTATTGGACCAGGAATTTTATTATATATACAAAGGGCGTTACAGAACACACTCCGATTCATAAGTGCAGTATTCGAAGGAACCATGCGGAATTTATCCCTATGGCGTGCACTAGACAAGACCTTAAACATATCTGTGTTATTTTTAACAAATAGGGCGCAATCCAGAATGTACAGACATGGAAGTGTGAGTATCCTATACTTTTTAAAATACGGTTTGCACGAGTCGGTCATGCATAAATTAAACATTGACCTAATACAACGTTTTTGGCACTTAAAAACGATTTCTTTGTCGGTTGCGTTCCCCCAAAACATTACTCCATATCTTAGGATAGATCCAACGTACCCATGATAAGCAGACAGTACAGCATCTGAATTTACAACTTTACTTAATTGGTACAACGCATAAGAATAACTAGACAACTTATTACATAGCTGTTCTATATGGCTTTTCCATTTTAAGTCACTGTCGATATATAAACCTAGAAATTTGTTTGTACTTGTTCCACAGATTTGCTTACCAGAGTAGTTGATATTTAGATTCACTGCATCAGTCCTTTGTTGAAAACTCATTATACTTGTTTTATCTAAGTTAACCTTTAAATTGTTAGCAGTTAGCCATTTAATTATTGATGATAAAGTCCCATTTATGTCATTTTCTAGCAATGTCAAATCTTTTCCGCTAAACAAAATAGTACTGTCATCAGCATACAGTGTCATATGATTACTAGTAATTTTAGGTAAATCGTTTATGTAAACCAAAAAGAAGGGAGGACCAAGCACACTACCTTGTGGCACTCCATATTTCACACGCCTTGGTTTTGATAAATAAGTCATTTCCGTTTTAGTAATTTTGTCAATTTTGTCTATTTGTGTAATTTGGATTCTGTTCGTCAAATATGATTTAATAAGATTATAAATGTTCCCTCTAATTCCAACAGCATATAATTTGTCAAGTAATATATCTCTGTCAACATAATCAAATGCTTTTGTCATATCCATAAACAAAGCAATGGTAGGAATTCTATTGTCCACATTACTCGTTACTTTATAAAGGAAATCATAAAGAGCCAAATTTATGGATTTATTTTGCCTGAAACCATATTGTTGTGGGGCTAAGCATTTGTTAACCTCTAAAAACGAATAAAGACTTTTGTATATCACCTTTTCAAAAATCTTAGCAAAAACAGAGAGTAATGCTACTGGTCGATAAAAATTCATGTTTGTGGGATCTTCCTTTTTGAATAAAGGTTTTACTACAGATATTTTCAATCTATCTGGAAAAACACCTTCAGATATACAGAGATTCATTATATGACTTAATACTGGCGCAATTATCCAAGAAGAATCTTTAACTATTTTTGTAGCAATGTTGTCATATCCCGTGCTACTACTATTTTTCAACGAATTAATAATTTTGAATAAATCATTATAATTAATAGGATGAATGAATATTGAATTTAATATACAATTTTTTATTATTATTTTATTTTGCACTGCATGTTTTGAATGTTCAGTATTAACTTCGTCAATAAAATGGTCGTTGAAAGCATCAACCATCTGCTGGGCATCTATAATCGTATTACCACTAACTTTTATTTTGTCAATGGTTTGTCTGGGAATATTGTTTTTCGGTTTATTTATTATTTTCCAAGTTGCTTTACATTTATTAAAAGAATTTCTAATACTGTAATTATTTTGTGCTTTTTGGGTTGACTTTATTATAGATTTAAAGCGTTTAGAATAAATTTTATATTCCGTATTTGCTGCAGCAGTAGGATTGGCTCTGTATTTCAATAACAATTCCCTTTTTCTTTTACTACATACGCGAATACCCTTGGTTATCCACTTAGGTTTATTGGTCGTATTACATTTAATTCTTATTGAAGGGAAACATAAATCGTACAGAAGTTGAAACATGTCATGAAAATTGTTATATGCTTCGTTAGGGTTATCAGCTTTGTAAGAGTCACTAAATGAAAGTTTAGACAAATTTTCAACAAACTTACGTCTATTTTCTAAACTATAGTCACGTCTCATTATATACCAGCAACGGAGGTTACAGGTTTTTTTGACTGGACACTTTAGGATTTGAGCAGAATGATCCGACAGTCCTAATTCCTTGATTTCTCCAGTACATCCTCTGACATTGTGAGCCACATTATCAATACAAGTCTTACTAATAAATCGCGTCGGCTGATCAAATTGGAACTTCAAGTTATAGCTATATAGCATATTGATGAGTTCCACGACATATTTTGATTTTTCCAAAAGATTAATGTTAAAATCTCCACATATAATAACCTTTCTATTTTTTAGACACAGTTTATTAAGAGCGGAATGTAGCTTAGAAAAAAATGCTTCAAAACTTTGTACATCGTATTTGGGTGATCTATAGATACAAAGAATATATAGAGCATGTTCTTTTAACTCAATGGCTGATAGTTCTACCACTTTTGGTATAGATAGCGCATTAATATCACCTACTAAGTTGTAATTCATATTTTTCCTAATCAAAATACAACACCCACCATGTCTGTTGTCTCTATTAAAGAATGAAGCTAACTTAAAATTTGGAATATTAAAATTCACTACATCATTATCAACCATATTATGCTCTGTAACACACAAAATATCAATTCCTTGGCCCTTGACATACAGCTCATCCAAAATTACTGTTAACATGTCCGATTTATTAATAAGTCCATTAACATTTTGATGCATTAGATATAAAAAATTATATACGAAAAAAATCATTACAATCTCTAGAGCCTGTTTTAACAATATTAGTAACATCGTCTGGTTGTTTATATTCTAATTGGTCATTATTGTTAACAACATTTTTTAAAACTTTAAAGTAGTAAGGTATAGTACCTTTCTTTGAGAGGTTAGTGTAATTTAGATTAATAGTTCCTGTGGCTACACGTGCATTCCTTGTATTTTTTGTAGTGTTTTTCATTAAAGAAGATATATTTTTAAATGTCAGAAAATGATTTTTGTATTCAGAATAGTCAATTAATATATTAATTTTATTACAAATTATACTTAAATTATCAGAGTCATGACAGGAGCTATTATAGTATCGATAGTCAAAATCAAGTATTTTACAATTGTCAAAATGTCTAGTCCATATTTTCATACTTTTATACAATTGATGTTCACTGAAATGTTGGTTGTGCCTTACGGGAACAATATAAACAAATGATTTAGCCAACAAATTTACAGCAATACATAGATTGGAATGCAATATATTGATGTCAGTATCATGGGAGCCAAAGCCTAGTATTACAACATCATCCTTTGACAATTTTTCTGCTATATGTTTGCAATATTTCAGCATTTCTGAACTTGAAGCACCAGGAAGTACAGTTGCTGTGGTGTTATATCTATCATTCCACTTTCCGTACCTAGAGTGCGCCAATACCGCAGCTAGTCCTCTCAGTTCTTCGTCACCTAATATATATATTGTTCGTTCTTTTTTCATGTGTACGTTGTGAGAGCATCCAATAATTTTAGTTGAAAGTGTGTGAGCTGCATAATCTTCGTGAATATTCGACTCTTCGATCTTTTGCTTTAGAGTGGTAATTTCTTTATTCAAAAGGTCTATTTCCCGTTGCGCAGTCTCCAGTGATTGCTTAAGGTCATTTATTTTTGTTTGTAGGTATATAAATTTCCCCGAGGGATGTGACTTTTTTTCTGAAGAAGGAACTTTTGGTGGAGTAAAGAAGTTTATGGATTGTGTAGAGTGTCGTTTATGTCCTTCATGGATAATATTATGGGGAATTTTGCAAACATTTTTTAGTATTTGTAATTCTTTTGTTAATTTCGTCGAGGACTTTTTTAGCTCATTATTTTCTAAAATATAATTTTCCAACTCCCTTTCGGTAGAGGTAAGTTTAATTTTTAATTGTTGATTTTCCTCTTGTAATTCATATTCGTCACATGCGTTGTTCGTCATTGTGTATTCCACGCTTTTGGATAGTCTGTCAGTGTATGAGCATGATGAATCATCTGTCGTATTCTCCTGTGTTGTGATGTGAGAATCGAAAATAATATTGGATTTGCTAGTAGATAAAGGAGAAGATGCTGAATTTGGAGTGCAAGGCGTACTTGTATTTGTTTCAACTGGTATTGAGGAACGTACAGGGATTAAGTCACTAACTGTATTGCTTGAATTTTTCTTTCTCGTAGTGATATAGTTGGATTGTTCACTGCTCGGAAATACTTGTGTTACAGTTTTTAAGCAAGTTGGACATTACAGTAAAATGACTATAATGTTTACCTTTCCTCCCTGGGCGGCGGGCGCTCATCCCTGGGTCTTTCGCGGGGTCTTTCTGGTGTACGAGGTCTTTCTTCACCTCTACCCGGCTCACGAGTGCGACCTGTGTAATGTAATGCAATCATGTTAAGAACTTAAATTATCACCCAATCAAACAGTCAAAATTACCGTATACTACGATTGTTTTATTAAGAATAGTGTGATCGCTTTCAGTCTGACTGTAAAAGTAAAACCGGGCAGATGTGTATGAGAGAAACGAAGCAATGGTGTGCCAAATAGTTCGTATAGGTATTTATTTATCTTTAACAAAGTTTTTCCAGCGATTTTTTTGGATGTATTAAAATACGAGGAGCTCGATGGAGCAAGTGGTTAGCGCGTTCGGCTGCGATCGTTGAAGTTAAGCAACTTTCGCAGTGGTCGGTCATTGGATGGGTGACCAAAAATTTACTATCTCGAGCTCCTCCGTGCTTCGCAAGGCACGTTAAGCCGTTGGTCACGGCTGCATCTGCAATCGTTAGCACCCAACAATCCGCACTGGGCCCGAGTGGTGGGTCATGGCCCAATCTCCCTATCCCATCCTGGCTGATGATGGATACAATAAAATATAAATACAATCTTAAGGCGAATTACAGAAACTTATTATGTACACATTAGATACTAAAGGCGTAACTATATATAATTAGCACATTTAATTTTAAAAATAGTATTAAAAACATATAATTTACTAACATAAAATTAAATTAAGATTGGGTAAGACATAAAAAATGGCAAAAAAAAATCAAACACAAAATCACCATATAAAAGGGTTTTCAGGAATTTGTCACATGATAGCTTTATCAAGTGTGGGTGTATGTGTATGTGTCCATGTAGCTGCGATGCTATGCCTCGTAAAATTGTTCTCTAAAAAACGAGCGGTTGGCTTATTAAATTTCCATTTAAAATGGGCTTGGAATGTAATTGCCAACACCTATAGACCAAGAGCTACTGAACCCTCCGAGTAATGTTCTGTCTGTAAGGCTGAAAATTCTTATGGTAACGAGTCATAGCATGCTTAGTACGGTAAGCATCGCCTGGCACTCCTCGGGTTCAGTAGATCTCCTACTACTATATTAACTACCTACATATACGTAGGTACGTGTGATAGTTAACTCCCAATGGACCTGGATTTTTCTGGAATGCGTCGAGTGGCGTATATAAGCGCGTCGAATACAAAGCGATTAAATGGCAAGTTAACTGTTCAAGTGCGATTGTTTAAAGACTTGTTTAGTGTAGTCAGTGTAGTATTGTACGTTTAAGAAAGAACTGTGTGATGAATAAAGAACTGTCAAACGTGGCATATAATTACGAACCCCATCCCGACACGTAACAGACTAGGATATTTGACAATATGAAAAATAATGTAATAATTTCTGGAATGCGTTTAATAGGAATATTAACAGCGATTTTGCTATTCCGAAAGAACAAATAATTAATAACTTTTCTATAAAATCATGAAATGAAATGATTATTAGCTCTGGGATTGGTCAAGACTAAAATGACGTCACACGCTAGTAGACTTCCGACCAAAGTTACATGACGTTGTATCGTCTGACGTTCTAATGATAGTGGTGTGACATCACGCACTATTGAGACGCCGCGCGCCGTAATGTCCAGAGAAACGTTTTCGCGGCAACTTGAAAATTGAATTTATAATTTAGTTTTTTTTAATGAATTACGCAAAAGTATAAAAAAATCTTATATACAAATATATATTAAATATCCATGACTGGAGTACAAATGCTCGTATTCATCACACAAACATCTGCCCCCACCGGGATTCGAACCCGGGACCTCTCGAGTCGGCGACACCATGAAACCCGGCGTATAAACCACTCGGCCACGGAGGTCGTCGTAATATTATTGAACTTACTGGCTCGCCACGGCTCCGGTTTCTTGTCGACAGCGGCGGCGGGGGCTGGCTTAGCGTCGGCGGGGGGTTTCCTCCAGGCATCGTCTTTCTCCCCGCCTCGCCTCCAACTAGACATGGCAGCAGCCTTCTGTTCTTCCAGTTTCCTTTGCACCTCCGCTTCCTTCGCGCGAGCTTTGGCCTCCACGCGGGCGAGGTACTCTTGATGCTCCCTGGTGGAGACAAATAATTTAGTTTTATAATCATAATCAAAATCATTTATTCAGCTGTTACAAGCACTCATGAATGTCTAGAAGCATCGCCAGCGGGAGACCTTGTACTGAGAAGAACAGGCAAGAAACTCAGCAAGGGCTGTTTTTTTCTCAATGTTTCATTATTTACAGAGTCGTCAAATTGAAAAATGACTTTAGAGATGATTCATGAAGTCACCTTTCATTATATAATGATTAAATATACATTAATTGTTTACCTGCATTTTTTTTAGGTTTATTTGCTAATTTATATAAAGTAAGACAACGTAAGATTTCACATCTCACCTCTCTTTCTCGCGTTCCTTCTCGCGTTGTGCGGCTAGTTCTTCGGCCATCTTGCGGTCTCGCTCTTCCCTCTCGCGTCTCTCTTCCTCTTCCTTGATGCGGCGCGCTTCCTCTGCGGCCCTCTCTTCTGCGCGATGCTTCTCAGCTAACCACTAGCGGTCACAAAGAAAAACATCTGTTAGGATATTCCAAGATTGTTTTGTGATTATGATTTTATTTAAAATTGTTTTGTGATTTTAAAATTTTTAAAATAACCGACTTGGAAATCAAAAATGGAACTAAAAAGTAAAATATAATATCTGGTTCATGATTTGGAAGTCGGGCGGGTCAAGATTGAAAGACGTATTATTATCGACCAGAAACGAAAATCTATTTAATGTTTCAATCTTGACCACGCCTCCTCCTTTTTTGAAGTCGGTTAAAAATACGATTTTTTTTACTTATCGGTGTTATCTGTTAGCTAAAGCTTCCACTATCCTCCACATTCATCCTCTATATAGAAGTTTAATTTATTATATTGTTGTACTAGACTGTGTGTAGATTAATAAATGTAGCAGTTTAATGATTAAATAACAATACAATCTTTATTGTGTTGTTATTTAATCATTAAAAAGCGTTTTTCGACGCGTTGCTTACATCTGCCTGCCAGTCGTTACTATCTCTCCGCATTCGTTTTGTGGTGGAAGTCATGAAAATCATTTATTTATTGCAAATAGGCCTTCAAAACGCCCTTTTACACGTCCCAGTATTACAGGGACCCTACCACTACTTTGGGAAAATAATTCGGCCAGTGCTGAGATGACGCAGCGCAAAAAACTCAGTCACCATTGCCAGCCTCTTTTCAAGGTTTTTTTTATGTTATAGGGGGCAAACGAGCAGACGGTTCACCTGATGGTAAGTGATCACCGTCGCCCATGGACACTTGCAACACCAGGAGTATCACAAATGCGATGCCGGCCTTTAAGGAGTACGCTCTTTTTTTGAAGGTTTTTGGGTCAATACAATGGATTTACAATACTGTAATATACAGGGTTAATTTCAAATCACCAACAACCTCTTAGGGGGTGATTCTATCCATCAACAGGAACAACTATTATTATTGGACCAACGCTGAAATCGCGAAAAAAATCTGCTGTTTCATACTACAGTGCATGAGCTAATCGACCAAAATGTATGGAGCAGCTAATTTTTTTCGCGAATTCAGAGTTGGTCCCATAGTAAAAGTTGTTCCTGTTGATGGGTAAAATCACCCCCTAAGAGGTTGTTGGTGTTTTAAAATTAACCCTGTATATTGATGTCAAACTATATTACCTCTTGTCTGCGTTGTTCGATGCGTTGCTTCCGCCTGTCTGCCAGTCGTTTCTCCCTCTCCGCATTGAGTTTGTCGTGGAAGGCAGCCAGGCGTTGTTGATGGGCCGTTCCTCGTTCGGACTGCAGTTTGGCCACGAATTCGTCGCGGTGTGCAAGCATTCGCATCAATCGTTCCGATGTGGCAACGTCGCGGGCGCGTGCCTCTGTTTTATAATTAAATTTTATTTATTATTAATTTATTAGGACCACTAGAAGACTTATTGGCTAAATACTTTTGTTAGTGATAATCACCAAGCAATTTAGTGATCCACTGCTGTTTTATACGTGCCTAAGAGACAGTACAAACGGATAGGATTTTAATTAAAACAAACAGAAAGACAAAGTTAAACAAGATATGAATTATGAAACTTATGAACCATTAGTGGCGCCTGTGAAATGAATATATATATATATACTAGCTGACTCAGCGAACTTCGTACCACCCAAAAGTAATAATTTGCAATAAATTAAAATTGCGACTATAATTTGAGATTTAAACTATCCTATCTCTCAAGTTGGATCGAACTGCACATGGTGTGCGAATTTTATTATAATCGGTTCAGTGGTTTAAGAGTCCATTGAGGACAAACATTGTGACACGAGATTTATATATATTAATTGATATCATTCAGAAAAATTTAGTGCTACGAATAAATAAGAACGATAATTAGCATTTTAATGTCCCTACTGCTGGGCAAAGGCTTTTCCTATGGATGGAATAAATAGATTGGCCATGTCCCACTACACGGGCCCTGTGTGGATTGGCGGCTGCTAACGACTGCAGATGCAGCCGGGATCAACTGCTTAACGTCCCTTCCGAAGCACGGAGGATCTCGAGATAGTACATTTTTGGTCACACATCTAATGACCTTTGCGAAACGCAAAGCTCCTTCTCTGTTTGACATATCTCTGAGAATTAAATTACGTATATATAATAAAGCTGAGTAATGTCCTTTTTAGTCATGAATTACTATAATTAGCCTTGAAAAATAAAGTGAATCACTCACCAATAAGCTGTTGTATGCGTTCCTTCTCCTGTTGTTCCCAGAACGCCTTATCTTGCACCTGCTTCTCTTCTAAGCTCTTCTGCAATAGCGGAATCTCTTCCAAGCGCTTGGCACGCTCGAAGTAATCAACCTGGTGACAGCATTAAATTTATTTTATAGAATTTATCCACTCTTTTAGCTGGAGCTTTTAGCTCTTTTTTTGGACGGCTATGTTACGTTAGTCAATTTCCTGTTCTAGTTTAGATTATTTCCGACGGTACCTTCTTTTCCTGCGACTTGAGCCTGGCCTGCAGCTCGCGGCGTTCCTTCATCAGCTCTTCAGCTTCGCGCTGAGCAATGGCTTCCGCGTCCATCTTCTTGATCTCCTGTTGAGTGAAAACGTTACAGTTTTGTAGATATAATCGTAATAAAATAAAAATCTTTAAATAAAATAAACGTGTTTTTGTTCGTTTCACCCCACTAGCGGTTCGCCCCGCGGGGTGAATCGCTAGTGGGGTGAAACGAAGTAAAGTACTCTGTTTGAAAGGGTCGTTCCGCCTCGCATTCAAGGCGTGGGGCTGAACGCTCGATTTGGATTGGAACGGTCAATTCAGAAAGAGATATTGGACCGAACCGAAGACAGAAATAAACATAAGACATTTAGGACTTAGGTAATAGATATAAACAAAAATCTGTGTACATATTTATTTATTTTATTCTTCTTTACCAAAATATAGTAAATGGCGGACTTAATGCCATAGGCATTCTCTACTAGTCAACCAGTAAGGGTGTGGGAGACGAATGTTATGGCGATAGAGTACGAGCTACTAAAGTTAGAAAAACATATATACTATCCTACTTAATTTTACTATACTATAATAAACGATAAATAAATATTATATAAATAAACATAGAAAAGATAAGTCCATTATCAAATAAAAATTAATTGGACCACTATGGAAACACGATTTTTACGTTAACTTAGCTAACCCGACAGTGTTAAAGGTGTACTGTAATTTTTATAAATCTCCTAACTTAACCTTACCTACCTAATCTGCTTGCTAAGCAAACAGATACAAAAAAAGTTACCTAACCGGGTTAGGTTATTTCATTTATTATTAGATTTATAAAAGTAGAGGTAAAAAAGTCGATATAAAACCTTACCTCTTCATCTAGTTTCTGCAGCATCTTCTTGCCGTGGGCGGTCTGGGAAATGTGTGCCATTCTCTCCTTCCTGTGTCTCTCCTTCATGGCGGCCAATTCGGAAGCATGCTTGCGTCTCTCTCTCTCCTCCCTCTCCTGCTCTAACCGACGGGCTTCGGCCGCGGCAGCCAAACGGACTTGTTCCTCTTGACGTCTGACATTTGTATGTAATGTTAATTGCTATGTAGTGAACAAATCTTTAGAAATCCTTATTATATTCTGCTCTAGCGGCCGCCCGCGAATTCGTACGCGTGGAGTTAGTTAGAAATAAAGGTTCACTGCTCGTTCCCCGTAGGTAGCGTGATAATATGTAGCCTATATGTTGACCCGACTTCTTAATAATATTCGTGCCAAATTTGAAGTAAATCCATACAGTACTTTTTGAGTTTATCCCGGACATACATACAGACAAACAGACAAAAATTCTAAAAACTTTATTTTTGGCTTCGGTATCGATTGTAGATCTTATTGTAGATCGATTGAGACAAGAAAACTTGGGGTGTGTCTTTTAAAAAAATATTCAATGTACAGTTTTGACTTTCGTGCCTTTTTATCATATGTATAGATGTTAAATTTGTGACAGTCAATCATGAACCTCTCGATATTCCTATTTTCCTACCAACATGGTAAAAAGAAGGGAATATTTAGAGCAGTTGTTCTTAACGTTTTAGTGACGATGGAAAATTGACAAAATTTCTGTCCTGCCACGGTCTACAACTTAGGATTATGCTAGTCGTTAATATATTAAAGACTGCAAATATAACCTCAAAATGTGACGAATTCGGAACAGACCTTTTGCTTGGCCGCAACGCTTGCCAGGTTTGCGCATTGGGTTTTTATATTTTTTGGCATAAACTGCTAGCTTTATAAATACAAAGAAATTTTTTTTTCTAGAAAAAATCCACTTCACTCGGTATGCACGAATTGCGGGTTCAAATCCAGCCTAAAACCGGGACCGAGTGGATTTTTTTCTAATAAAAAAAAAGTTTTTATAGACAATATAATTTACCTTAATTCCTCCTCCTCTCTTACGGTGTTCAGCCTCTCAATATACTCCTTCCTCTCCTCTATGATCTTGTGTCGTTGCAACACTCTAGCATGTTCCGCATGCTTATTCTCATGGTAATGTTGCACCATGTTCACGCGAGCCCGTTCTCTCTCCGCTCGCCTTCGGCCGGGGAACAGAGTTTGGGCTGCCACTGATAGTACTTCCGCAGCTCGTACTAGTTGTTCGCGAACCTGATGATAAAACATTTCTATTGGTAAAGGAATTTTCAAAATCGGTTCAGTGACTACACTATATTACATGAATAATGCAGATTGGTCACAAGAATATTCGACAACACTAATAGAGTATGTTTAGAAACGAATCATGCACTGAAATAATGGTCAAACATAGTATTTTATTTGGCTATGTATTATATAAAAAAAAACAAATTATGAAAACAGTTGAAGCAACAAAAATATTACTTATTACCACGAGAAGTATCAGAAGGACACAGAACTAAATGAAAATATAATCATGATTATTAACTATAAAATGGGCTCCCGAATGTTGGCAAATTCGGCAAATCGACGATCACGTGACATGACCGAACGAGACCTAATGTCATATACATTTATGTGAATAGTTATTAGACTGTCAGGTAAAAGTCCATTCCGTCTGGAGTCTCTAGACCACTCAAACCTGAGGGGATCGGCTCAACTAGCCGTTGTCGTAGGGCTAATATACCTGCTCAGCGGGCGTAGCTTGCAGTATGGCACCACCGCAGGCTTCATCGGCGGCCGAACACCATTCACCGCCGCCGGCTTCCACGCCGAAGTGGACGGATCTGATTAATAAATAACACAATTATGTTGACTCGAATTCTTAATAATATTTGTGTAAATTGCCAAAACTTTGAAGTAAATCCAGTATCCAAGTACTTTTTGAGTATATCCCCGACAAACATATAGACAAACAGACAAAAATTCTAAATACTATGTTTTTGGCTTCGGTATCGATTGTAGATCACACCCCAAGTATTCTTTAAAAAAAATATTCAATGTACAGTTTTGACTTTCCTACCGTTTTGTTATATGCATAGATAAAAGTGCGAGTCCAATTCCCCATCAGAGGGTACAAATTGGTAAGTACGCAACATAAACTGCCGCAGGTTTCTTTTTACGTTAACTTAAAGTTTTAATTTTTCTTTTTCACAGCTTGAAGGGACCATATACCTAAGTGTATGGTTTAAATTTGAACTTGATACTTATATTCACGATTTCGCGAGATAAAGAATCTTGACATATAAATAGATGGATAAAAAATGTATCCTGTATATCTAGGATTCCGTTTTTTCCCTATAAGATACGAGAGAGAGATAAAAGATTAAATATTCTTTTATATACTTCACAATTCCAAAAAATCCAATAACACAGACTTCACATTATTAAAACAAATGGGCTATTTCATATTTTACTTCTAATTCACCCATCATATGGGTAGAGGTGCTCGATGGCGCGAGTGGTTAGCGCTGTCGTTTGCGATCGTTAAGTTAAGCAACTTTCCCAGTGGTCGGTCATTGGATGGGTGACCAAAAATTTATCTCTATTTATAATTTATATTATGTCTATCTCGAGCTTCTCCGTGTTTCCGAAAGCACGTCAAGCCGTTGGTCCTGATTGCAACTACAGTCGTTAGCACCCACTAATCCTCACTGGGCCTGCGTGATGGGTCACGGGAAGGCGTGTGCCCCAGCAGTGGGGACATCAATAGGCTGACGATGATAGTTTATGACCCGGATCAGCACTAGGCCCGCGTGGTGGATCATAGCTCAAACTCCCTATTCCATCCATGAGGAAGGCCTGTGCCCCAGCAGTGGGGACATTAATAGGCTAATGATGATGATGAAGGGATAAATTGACTCACTTATTAGCATGATCGACCCGTATCTGCATATCATTGTGACGCACGCAGTCCACCAACAAACGTTCCAGGTGGAATAGGTCCTCGGTGCCGGCCAACTCCAGTAATCTATCGAACTTGATGCAGGCGTAGCATTGGGCCACTTGCCGGATCAGACGGACTAATGCCACGTCGTTCAAAGCTGTTGTGTACTGAGCTAGGGGGGAATCTGGAGGAAAAACAAGTTTTACTCATAATCGTCGTAATATTCAACCGCAGCCTATGTTAGCACAAACAACACGACAGTAGCCTTAGCATGAACCAATATCTGTGTCTTGAATTTTAGTTATCGTTACGTCTGTTGTGGCGCTGCTCTTCAAGTTTCCATACAAATTTTGAAAATGACATTTCGGACTCGCAAACTATTCGAATTCGATTATTGGTTTGTGCTAGGGGTACAGCACATTCTTGGTAACAGAGTTGTTTACAATTGGAACAGATTACCTGAGAAAGTGGTCTCTTCTGAGTCAATAAATGCATTTTAAAATAGTTTGGATGGATGAATAAATCAAGAAAAGATAATGTTGACAAGCAAAATAAATCAATGAAATATTTCAACACTACATCGTAGAGGCAGTTCAGCGAAATGCTGCTTGTCTATAATTTAATAAATAAAAAAACCTAATCTACTATATAAAAATAAGTCGGGTTTTCCTTCCTGACGCTATAACTCCAGAACGCACGAACCGATTTCCACGATTTTGCATTCGTTGGAAAGGTCTCGGGCTCCATGAGGTTTATAGCAAAGAAAATTTAGGAAAAATTAAAAAAAAACTTCTTTTAATCACCAAACGAAATGTTACATAAAACGAAGCCATCTGGTGGCGAAACGGAGTTCGCGGGGTTTGCTAGTAATATTATAAATGTGAAAGTTTGTATGTTTGTGACTCAATCACGCAAAAACTACTGAACGGAGTTGGGTGAAATTTGACACACATTTAGTTTATGTCCTGGATTGAGACATGATACTTTTTATAGCGAAAAATGTTAAGTTCCTATGGGATTATAAAAAAGGTAAAGTTAACACGGACGAAGTCACGGGCGCACGCAAATCTTATTATAATCTCAATTAATCCTCTAATCCTGTAAAGTTTTTACATATTTATGTACGGCTCCCGAAATCCACGAAAAGTCTGTCTTTGTGTGCAATTTTATCAATTAAATCTTACCTCATAATAATTCAACAATTTTTTGTCTGTTAGGTAGCTGAATTCAGCTATCACAACTGAGAGAACATATTGAAAAGTCAGTTCCAAAAAATAGTTTTGGGTAAGTAATTGACTTTGTTGACTTCAATTCAACAAGTTAAATAAGCATGATAACTTACTGGGCTCGTCCTGCAGTGCCTTTATAACGCCTTTCACGTTATGGCATATTGAGTGTGGGTCAAACTCCACTTCCAACCACGCATACAACTGCTGCAACTGCGGAGATGCCAATCCTACCACATTGAGGCGGACCACATCTGCAAACAAACCATATTAAATCAGTGGAATTGATGAAATGTTTCTTGAAAAGCCCTTATAGTTGAATTAATCTATCTTGTTGATGTTGTATTATGCTTCCAATATGAATAAAGAAATTCGGTTTTGACATCAGTTGTTTAATGCCTCAACGAAACCTACATATATTGCCACAAAGCTTAGTCTAAGATAGTCATTAGTATAAATACCATAAAACGAATATCCATATCTCCTGGTCAATTCACTACTTGATAACTTTTTTAAGTTTTCTGATACTTTTACTAAGAAAGTTTTATCGGTAACGAATTTGCGGGCGGAAGCTAATACAAAATAATATAAGCCTGAGATAACATTAATTAACAAATCAACGTTAAATAAAATTATACTTTATTTATTTAACAAAACTTATTAACCAATACATTAAAATGGTATAAGAGACGGACTTAATGCTACAAGCATTTTCTACCAGTCAACCTTTGATAACTACGATTAACACGAAAGGCAAAATTGTCATACGAGAGCTCTTTTGAATTGTCCAATATATTTTTCCTACCACCAGTCCACGTAGCATGAGCACCACAATTTACATTAAATCACGTTTTTTATCACGTCTAACTGTCAAACGCCATGTTCATTATTATTGTGTTATAATAATTTGACAGTTGAGCGTGATAAAAACGCGTTATATATCATAACGCAGTGCTCATGCTATGCAGGACATCTTTTAGCTGAAAAGAAGAATAAATTAACTTACCTTTGAGCAGACTAGTTCTAGTAGGCGGCTGAGCCAGTCCGAGCAGCACAGCAAGTCTCTGAGCCTTCTCCACGGGACTCTTGTCCGTGTCTACGAATCGATCGAACTCAGGGTGAAGAGACGGCAGAGGAACGGATAGAACAGCCACCAGAACTCGACAAGCCATCCTAAGAGAAGCAATATTACAAAGATTAAACATTATTTCTTGTCTGATATATCTGACAGCAATGATATTAAATACCCCAGATACACCACGTGGGCTCAAAATGTGTACCATGTGTACCAATCAAGAAGTGCTTGAACTCCACTCAAGCACTTCTTGGTTCACAGTCACGCGCGTACCGTTGAAAAGTAAAGATGTCGCAGAGCTCCGTGAAAAATACGAAAACAATACTTACGTTAAGTGTCGTTTTTTCGACAGGTATTATTTAAATCTAAAGAAAAGTTTACTAGAAAAACATCCACGCGGACCAGGCAGCGGACGGGACTCGAACCCGCATCCTTCGCTATCCGGGCGAATGCACTGACCATTATGCTACCACGGCCCTATTAGCCGCGTCGAAATTTTCCTAGCCTTAAGCTGCAAGGCAGCGCCATCTCTTCGCATTGTAGGTAACCCACAATGTCAAATGAATACTTTTTCAAGTATTAAACATTTCAAAGAAGAAATAGCAATTATAGTTATGATTTTATTTATTTTTTAAGCATTTAACTGCTAGATGTTTAAATCTAAAGAAAAGTTTACTAGAAAAAAATGGCTAGAAGGATTTCGACACGGTCCGTGAGGGCCGCGGTAGCATAATTGGTCAGTGCATTCGCCCGGATTGCGAAGGGTGCGGGTTCGAGTCCCGTCTGCTGCCTGGTCCGCGTGGATTTTTTTCTATTTATTTAGTTTTTATAATAAAATTTAAATATATAAATATGCGCTAATGTCGAAAAATAAACATGAGTAAATATATCAAGTTACAATTTAATTTGTATAATAAAACTATATACGTTTGAATGTCTATATGTTTACTAAATACGAAATAAATGATTTTATATCTTGATGAAAATTGAGAAAGAAAAATAGTTGAAAGAAATACTAATTTAAAATTTTTTAATGAACGACGGACGTCACGTTGCCGTAGACCCCCCGTCCCCCCTTGTCACACTTAGCAAGACCCCTCCCCCCCCCTTGTATGCGAACGTATTTTATGAACGGCCTCCTTGCTATAAACTGATTTAATAGAAATATTTGAATTATTCAAATGCATGGTCGGTAATATAGCCGTCTCTTCCTCGCGGTTCGTAACTGCTATTTTGCCAACAGCGCATTCAGAATTGCGCCTAGAGACAAAGAAATAAGGTCTATATTCTTCCGCATATAGCAGCAATAACGAACTGTCGTATCTCTTTGACGCATGCGTTTTAATTAAGACCTTTTATAGTATGCATTAAAGGTGACTTTCAATGTCTAAATAACGCCTTGTATTGTTTTTGGCTACGCAACCATCTTACGGAGCTCCGTGGATCGTTCAATGTACCTTTTGGACACGTTTCGGCCACGATTTTCTTCGTGTTGGTGTATCTAGGGTATTTAATATCGTTGTCTGAGAGACATAGATCTCTTTTTTTATATTAGGGGGTAGGGGATTGAGTTCAGGCTGGCAATCTGGGGATGGCAAAAGCGGCACACTTCCTGCCGTATCACTTATGTTCATAAATAGCTCCATCAAGCGACCGGACGTAACGACGCGCGATCAAAGGCGTGCTTCATTCTGGCAACAATTTCACCATTGAGAGAAGCTAACACCGGAAGGGACGGGATGGCGCTGTATATCAATATAAAACCAGGCGGACGGACTCCAGAGCACACCTTGGCCAAGGAGTCAGCCCAACTTCGACTCCTTTAAGATTAGACATATATATACTCAAATAATGTAATGAAGTTGAAAAATACATTTGATTATTTTATTGGAGAAGTCGCTTTATTTCCTCAACAATATACAACTTAACTTCGCGATTGGACTCCACTTAAGCCGGGTACTCATTAGCGAGCTGTAACCGTAACATGCGTGATACAGTAGAAGGTTTTGTAAACGTCGGCTCGCTGCAAACTGCACGCGTAACGATCGCAGTAGGTTAGCGAACCACGTACACACTATGCTTTTTGGTTATATATGCTAGTGCATGCAACGGTTACTGGTCGCTAATGAGTACCCGGCTTTACACTTAACATCAGGTGACGTGGGATAATTTGTTGCTCCTTGTACAAAAAAAATTAAGTGCCAGTGTACAGGCATAAATTAACACAAACGACAGAAAAGCTAATTCGTTTGTCGCGTCTAGCCCATAATTATAATGTACCTCTGAGGCCTACCATTATGCAACAATTGAAATATTGATAATGGGATTTATTTCAGAGGTGAAAGCCATTAAAGATAGGTATGATTATGTCACTAGGCGCATGCCATAATTTTCTAAACTTTAATGCTAGCTATACACACTACGAGAAATCATTATGATTAGACTGTACCGTCCGAACGGTACCGATAAATCGTAGCATGTATGTTATAAAACTGCACAGTTTCCTATACGTACGCGCCGTACGATAAACTGTACAGTTTTCTTTCTATACGTACGCCACGTACGATAAACTGTTCCGTTCGAACTGTACAGTCTGATCGTAACGATTTCTCGTAGTGTGTATGGCTACCATAAGACTGCTGTCAAAACCAAATTTAAATTTGGTAAAAGAAGAGACATACATAACATATGAATTTAAGGTTTTTCGAAACTCTAAATTCATTTAAGAATGAAGTACAGACAACAGACAATACGTAATGTATTAATTAGAGAGGACCTCAATTTTACAGAGTTGTCAGAAAGTGAAAGAAAGTCAAATCCATTCTATATTATGATCCTGATATAAAACAGAGTTCCATAGAACATTTTATCGAGGCCATAAAAGTGGCATACTTTTCTTCCACACTTTTCGTATGTTCATTGTTTGACTACATCATTTACAGAGCCTTTTGGTAAATGCCTTGCTATTAAATTAACCTGGATAGCAGAAGATGCAGGTTCGAATCCTGTCTGATGCCTGGACTGCGTGGAATTATTTCTATATTTTTTTTAAATCTAGCAGTTAAATACTAGAAATAATAATACAATACTTATTGTTATTTAAATATATGCACTTACTTCTGCAGTTCTTCCTGGGTAATATTCTTCTTCATCTCCCTGGACAGTTGGAATAGTTTCAGCAAGGCGGCGGCATGGAAGAGACAATGGCCGGCCTTCCAAAACACCAGTGCCAGTTTCCCATAGTAATTGGCCATGGTCTTCGCAACTGGTGTCTTCTTAGACATATTCATCAGGTTGTGGATGTCTTCAATCGCTTTATAGGCTTCCTGTTAATGCATATTGTTGGCATGAATGAATTTTTAGTAACTTTTGAACGAAACAATTTGTTCCTTTAAAAAGTTGCAGAATAATCAATGCCTGTTCCACTCAGAAAAATAACAATCAATATTTGATTGCAATATAATTTGCCACCCTTTTTACATAAATAAATGAGAATTAAAACTCTTAGGGCCACTTGCCCAGAAGAGTAAAGTCTGTACTTAGATTAGATTTCTTCAGTGATGGCTCCCTCAGGATTTAGCCAATAAATACTAACTATTTAACCCAACAAAAAGTAAGATTATATCTAAGGTTTGTGGTCTCTTTGTTCATAACACACATTTAGTGTCGCCGCACAGGGCCACCGACCACAACCACAAAACGCCGCCACCGGCATATTTCTTTTAGTTTCCATACATTTTATATGGACTCGGCACACACGATACGCCGGTGGCCGCCACACGCTACAAATCGTCGTTGCTCGCTTCTTGTGGTCCGCACCGGCTACTTAATGCGCCGATACAAAACGCCGCCACACGTCACTCGCGCGATTCCCCACCCCTCTCTCCCTTACCTTAGTCAGCCGCTGTCGCGCGCTTTAACCACTTTAGTTGCCGCTTCTAGCTTCTCGTGGCGGCGTTTGTGGCTGTGGCGTGTGGCCCGTGTGCGGCGACACTTACTATGGTTTTTTTTAAACAGTATTTTATGACTAAGTAAAACACCAAAATACTATACCTGCCAAAGTTCCATTTGAATAGCACTGTCTAGTTGGAAGAGTCTGGTCTCCAAATTGAGTTGCTGAGTCTCAGGCTTGGAAATGCTCACATTTCCAGTTTGCACCTAAAAGAGATAAAAGTTAATATATTGTCTTAATATTAGCTTATCAAAGTGCTAATTTATAGTATGGAATAAACTAAACTTACATTAGGCTTGCAAATATCCTCAAGATGCTTCCTGAGTTTGTCGCAGAGTTTCCTGAACTCGGTCTTGCGTGAGTACTTGAGACAGAACTGGAAGGCCATGCGTGCAATGTCATGGTACAAAGTCTCCACATGGGCGTTGGTACGGAGCAACTCTAGACACTGGCAATATGATTCCCACAGGAATTTAACCTAGAACAGAAACAGTTGATTGATTGATTAAAGATTAAGAGAGTTAAATAAATAGCTAATCTTATCCATAAGGCTGCTATTTGGACCACCAAATAGCCTACCAAAATAAAGATAAGGAAGGAGTCATGTCATCCCCAGGCGATTCTGGATAAGTGAATTGAGTCACTAGTTTTTGCGTGCCACCCAACGATATTAAATACCCTAGATATACCATGTGCGCTCAAAATGTGTCCCTATCAAGAAGTGCTTGAACATGACTTGAGAATTTCTTGGTTCCACTTGGTCCGTTATCTCAGTCACATGCGGACCGTTGAAAAGTCAACATGTCGCTTTTTCCACGGGTATCTATAATCAATGTTTGTTAATATAACGCATTTGAAGCAAATTTTGTTTTAATGCTTACTATAAACCGATTTAATAGAAAATATTTGTGATATTCAAATGCATCGTTACCGAATATAGGCGTCTCTTTTCCTCGCGTTCCGTATTTGCTATATAGCTAACAGCGCATTTAGAATTGCGTGTAGAGTCAAAGTAATAAAGTCGTATATTCTTCCGCATATAGCAATAAATCGTAAAATTTTACAAGCTTACATTTCGGACTGTCGTAATCGTAACTCTTATACGCATGCGTTTTAATTAAGACATTATACAGTTTGCTTAAAAGTGATTTTCAATGTTTAAATAATGCCTTGCGGCCAGAGTGCACTCAGACTCAGATTCAGATTCAGATTTCGAAAACAAGCGCGATAAATAAACAGTGTAGTCGAAGGGTACGGCCAGATTGCACTCCTGATTCAGATACAGATTTAGACTCAGAAAACAAAGCGCGAGAAAAAGCAGGCAACCTGCTTAGACTACACTGTTTATTTCTCGCGCTTGTTTTCAGAATCTGAATCTGGCTCTGAATCTGAGTGCACTCTGGCCGCACCCTTATATTGTTTAGACTACGCGATCATCTTACAGAGCTCCCTGGATCGTCCAATTGGTATTTAATGTTGTTGGTTCCACCAAACTCAATAGTCCCAATTTCTATAGTAGCAACATGAGTAGCTCTCGAAAACAATATCCGTGAGATTGTGTGCATCCTAACATTCCGCCACAATATGTGGAATTCCAGCCATGAGTATATTGAAGTAGGCAACGAAAAATCATATGCATGCGTTTCAGCAATGGTGCGGTGATACTAAGCTTTAACCCAAATTTCAATCTCATCAGACTAGATACTCTCTAGTATATTATTTTTCCTATACCCACATATTACTATTTATGCAATTGTTAAGACATAAATTAACACAGATGGCATACTTTTAGGCCATCTGTCGCGTCATGCCTTATTAATTTTCCTCTGAGGCCTACCATTACACAACAACTAATATGATGCCAATGGGATTTATATCAGAGGTAAATTGTTTTTATTTAAATAATTTCTTACAAAGTGATAATGAACAAAATTATATAGGTATAATATAATCCATTCTGTAAGTTTATCAATATCTTGATCAACTTTCATAAGATAGTAATCGAGACGTAAATTGATCAACTTACGACGTCTCGTAAAATTCTAAGTACTGTGACCAATCCCAGAACAGAGTATAAATTTACGTAAAATAATACACAGCTTTCTGTACCCCTAGCACGAACCATTATCGAATTGGAATAGTTTGCAAACGAAAAGCCGGCGAAGCGTCAGAAAAAAAAACTCTGTTAAAAGAGACTTTTCTACAAAAAAAATCAAGTATCACCTCTTGGGCCCTGGAAGTACAGTTATACCCTATAATACCTTCGTCACATTTTTTAATTTTGTTCAGTTCATTCCGACTTTTCACTGGTTTGGTCATGTCCACTATAAAACTTTTGTAGCTCTATGTAAAATTTTTGTTCATCAGCTAACATATTATTTTAGGGATAAGCTCGGTAAATTGATCAATTTACGAAAATGATCCCGTAAGATAATACATTTTATCTCTCATTTACTATCTTACAAAAGTTGATCAATTTACTAGGAAATTGATCAACTTACAGAATTTATTATATTCCGATGACATATACAGGGCCTCCCACGGCTACCTCACACGGAGGGAAAGTATATTAAATATTGGAGATAGGATATTTTACTAAAAGAAGATATCATTTTATTTTTAATAATAACTAGAACTGCAATCACAGATTTGTTAAAATCGCTTGCTACAACTGGAAATCAAACTCATGAAATTTCGAAAAAAAACACGATATATTTTAAGATAACCATCGAAAGGGTTAATCATAAGGATTATTTTTTGCTAAATAACATAGCATTTTAAATTAAAGAAAAGTAATTTAATTTAGCATTTTATTTGAAATTATTTAACACAAACTATGCTATTATTTATTACAATCGGATATGCCTCAAAGTTAGTTAAAATGTTGAGTTCATCATCGTTGACGATTATCATCCCCTCCGTGTGAGGTAGCCGTGGGACGCCCTGTATATATATTATTTCTTTTCCAACACACACCAATTTGCCTAGCCCTAAAGTAAGCACTGTAAGGCTTGTGTTATGGGATGCGAAGGTAAGGGATACTGTACATTATATAAGTTTATTTATATAGAATACATATTAAACATCCATGACTGGAGTACAAATGCTCGTATTGATCACACAAACTTCTGCCCCCACCGGGATTCGAACCCTGGACCTCTCGAGTCAGCGACACCATGAAACCCGACGTACAAACCACTCGGCCACGGAGGTCGTCAATTATTGAATACACGTCTTTACGTGTTTAGTTTCTTTGAACTCACCCATGGTGTTAGAATAGTTCTATCAGAACGATCTTGAGCATCTTCACCAGAGACTGCACTTAAGAGAATGCTCTCAGGAGTGGCCAAGTTATCCAAGTCATCAGTTTCAATGACAGCTTGTGTTGACTGTGCTCTAGCAGCTTCTGTACGCTCTTCAGCCATTCGTAAATAACCTCTGAAAAATACCAGAAATTTAAACATGTAGAAAATTTACATTTACAAAACCTTTAACCACTAAAAACAAATTTAACAAAAAGGAAAAGTAATACGAACTAGCATAAATGATTTTATATGGTTAAGATTTTTTTATATAAGTGTCATTTGTACAGGTTTAAATTAACACAGATGACTGATCTGTTAAGTCATTTGTCGCGTCTAGCCCATAAATATAATGTACCTCTGAGGCCTACCATTATACAACAATTGAAATATTGATAATGGGATTTATTTCAGAGGTGAAATCCATTATAGATAGTATAAATACCTCACTGGACCCATGCCATTTACTGAGTAAACTTTAAACTAAATTTGACAGGAGTCTCTCCTTCAACTAAATTAGAATTTCAGAATTGTTATTTATGGAGTTGGTTTTTTAAACCATATGAATGAAGTTAAGCATGCATCTGGTATTGAGTAACAAAATGTCATCTATAAATTAGAAAGGTAGGGCATAGCAGATTTGCCATCTTGAGCAGTTACCTCTATTTTACAGGTTTCAGGCAAAACTATTCTATATATGTACCTTTTAAATAAATAAATTATGACCCTTATATGAACAAGAGTTTCCCAGAAAAGGGTTTCTAAAAAACTGCTTACTGCTATTAGTAAAAAATACAAGTTATTAAGTTAAATAATTAAATTAAATATACTAAACGTCTCATACTATGATTTTAAACATGCAAAATATGGGGATTGGCAGGAGCCAATATCAAGGGATCCAGAAAAAGGGAGGGGTGATGGTAAGCACATCTCTTACATACATAATATAAACCAAATTACTCCAAACTCATAATGTGTTGTTTTTTTGTAGTTCTTCTATTCATACAAATGTGAATGAGCACTATTTGACAAAAGCATTTAGTTTATAGTGTATCTCTTTCTCATAATCCCTAGACAAACATGGTTATATATAAACAAAGTTATGATGATAATCTCTTTACAAGAAACCATGACCCTGGGACTAAATTTATGTACTAATCAAACAAATAGAGCCCCAATCAGGATTAAAACCCCAAAACCATTGTAGCAAAAGGCAAGGGCGAAATATTGCACCTACTGAGGCCCCAGCACAAACGTGATAGCTTCCTAATTGTATTGCATGGTCAGTTTCTATGAAAACTTAGCAGTACCCCTACTGAACATAATAACAAATTAGCTCCTTTCATACAAAATTTGATGATGCCCAGATGATGATAGAATAGAATAATTATTTATTTGCGTTTTGATACAATTAAGGATCAGTCAAATTTCGTGCTGGGGTACATCATTTCTAAAATCTCCTTTAAATAATAAATTTAAATCTTCAGTAAAAAGTAAGGCAAGTTGTTATTATAATGTAAATAATAAAAGTACTATAAATAAAAAATACTGGAGATTGATTATTGAAACTTGCAGTAGACTTGTATTAGTTGTTTTGCTCCATTATAGTAGGTATTTTACTGTTTACAACTTTAATAGCACTAGTATCTATAGTATTGCTGACATTTTGATTGCAATACAAAGAATGTATGATTAAGTTTAAAAAAATCGAAAACATATGTACTAATGTACTATATACCTAACCTTTGACTATTATTAAATAAAAATTTAAGAGCTACATTTTTTCTATACCTAATGGAAAATTTTATTACAAAAAAATAATTAAATCGTAATACGGGGGAGGGTTTTGGTTCTATTCAAGCCTGATACTTGGACCAAGTTGAACATAATTTGTTTGGAAAGCTTTTATCAATCTAGTTGTTTACCTTATAACTTGTTCCAGCGACCCAACGTTCACAGATTGAAACATGTTCCTGTACTGGAAGAGGCCCTCCTTGGCAATATGAGATTTTCGAAGGTCGACGCATAGCTCCAAATATTTGAACATGATCGGTTCTAATACAGACTCCGACCAGTTGTAAGCCCATTTTTTGTTGCGAAACACCTCCTGTAGCGTGTCTAAGGCTCGCGCGGGCTTATCCAAGTCCATAAACTCTGTAGTCAGAATGAATGAAATGCAGTTGCTGGTCTTTGGTTATGTTTTTACGTAATTACCAAAGCCTGTTTTTTTTTACGAGAAACTATAAACACAAATAATTAAAACCAGAACTGCTTACTCTCCTATTAGATCATACAAAAATATCGGGATTCAAGCTCATAAAAGTTGAAATTCATAGTTCGTCATGTCTGCTTTGCAACGTGGTACTTTGTTGTATAGTGTACTTACCACTGGCCCGTTTCAGGGCATTTTCCGGTCTTTGACCGTACCGCGCCATATTGTACCCTATTTTGTTAGCTTCATCAACTCAAATTTAGCGTAAATTGTATTCCCTGAGGAAGACACAGATAAAAGAAAATTTACAAAATGCACCTTCGCCGGTTGTGCCAGGCGACAGAACTTTTCAAAATGGCGGCGAATCTTTTTTAAAAATGGCGATTTTAGAGGGGTGATTTGTCAATTATTAATCGATATGGTGAAAGTATTCAATTGAAAAAAATACGATTAAAATATAAGGGTCAATACAGACAAACGTAATTTAGTGAGCGAGTTGTTGAAACTTGAGGACACTTGGATGAAGAATCTCGACGATGTCATTATATATCATGTCTATGGTTTTAAATGAAAATCAATAACGTAAAATATGCTGCATTCAGTTTCAGATATCCACTTCGTACCAACCTTAAGGCAAGCTTTCAACTGAAATTAATTACAGCAAAATCTAGCTCATGGTATGATGGGATTGAGACAAAAAACCAGATGGGGACAGTAGGCTAGTTTACTCATGTCGAATTGTATTAAATAAATGTTTATTTCTTAAAGTATTTACTCTAAGGAACCTTAATATATCGATTTCACTTCATAAAAGCAGAAGATTGCTGCAGAAATTTAATATTAAAAAATATTTTAGAGTCTATATTTTTTAAACACTAAAAACGCTGTTCGCCACATCCGCCATGATTTTGACGTCTCTTGTGGTAAACAACTAAATGTCAATCGCGTGTTACTGTAGGTGGATTCTTTCGTCTGACTATTTTATCTTAAAACACTTTTAACTTTAGGAAAGAAAAAAACAGTAAACTTAGTTTTTTTTGACAAAACTAATTATGGATGCCGGCTTTGTGAAAGCAGAAAGCACAAATCTGCCAAGAATTGACGGATTGATGGTTGGTGAATTTGTTGCACTAAACCCAGATTTCTGCTCTGCGGAGCAGAGAAACGACAAGGCTGTCATATATGTCAGTGATGACTGACGTTCGAATAGGTGGATGAATGACCAGATACATGGACTAAAAGATGGATAACAATGCTATAAATTTTCTACGCACTATCATAGCACATAGAAAGTAATGGAGAAGAAACAGACAAATGGAAAGATATACCTACAATTGGCCAGACAGATCATGGACTCATGATGGTGGGACAAGATCGTTATCTTTATATTGAGAGAATTAAAATAAACTATAGGAATCAACAGTGTGTCCTTGAGAGGTGATAAACACAAAAACTTATGCATTTACAACATAATAAGTATTGTGTAATATCCTACCAATATTAGAAAAATGTCAATGTCAAAAATCACTTATATATCGAAATATCCTTACAAAATAGGCTAGTTGACCCTTTTTGGAAAAAGGTTTTAAATGGTTAATTAATGTTCTATTAGAACAAAAAAAAATGTATTGTTTTTTTTTTAACCTAGAAAGCTACAAATCTTTAATTTTAAAATAGACTTTTCATGGACATACAAAAACGCTGTCGGCCATTTTAGTCTATAGATTATCTATGCTATGACGTGAACTGTCGTAAACAAAAACTCGTAAACACGTAGAAAATTACTTTTAACTGAGTTTATAATAAACAAAAACATGATTTCTAATAAATACCACGAAAAATAAAGTAATTATCATTACTGTATTGTACGAGAATATAAAAACACATCCTTGAAGACTCCAGGAAAGTTGTGGATTAAAGTGCCGAAAGAAATTAACCTACGCAACTTTATTACACTTATTCATATGTTGTATCAGTTTTATGTTTATTACTACATTGTAATACTAAATGCACTGTACTTACATAGATGCCTTGTCGTTTCTCTGCTCCGCAGAGCAGAAATCGGGGTTTAGTGCAACAAATTCACCAACCATCAATGCGTCAATACTTGGCAGATTTGTGCTTTCTGCTTTCACAAAGCCGGCATCCATAATTAGTTTTGTCAAAAAAAAACTAAGTTTACTGTTTTTTTCTTTCCTAAAGTTAAAAGTGTTTATGATAAATTTAGTCAGACGAAAGAATCCACCTACAGTAACACGCGAATGACATTTAGTTGTTTACCAGAAGAGACGTCAAAATCATGGCGGATGTGGCGAACAGCGTTTTTAGTGTTTAAAAAATATAGACTAAAAAATATTTTTTTAAATTAAATTTCTACAGCAATCTTCTGCTTTTATGAAGTGAAATCGATATATTAAGGTTCCTTAGACTAAATACTTTAAGAAATAAACATTTATTTGATACAATTTGACATGAGTAAACTAGCCTATTACTTGTGTTTAAAAAGATATCGATATACAATAGGGCAGCCTTGGAGTAGCAATATGTAAACAATGTAAAGGCATTATTTTAATTTCCTAGTAATTTTAGGTATATACGTTTTTTTCGTACGTATTTAAGAGAATTATGCCAGAATCGACACCACCAGTGTCTGTCTGTAATCTGTGACGTTCATGTTAACTACTATTACTTTTTGACATTAGTCGGTGTTTTTGGCGGGATTTTATCGAGTGCGGTTGGCGTCTTAATTTAATTATTCTTAAATTCGTTCATGGTGGATACTGTAAAATAGAATTGGTGTGGTTTTATATTACAACCGTCTGAGCAACTGAAGAATTAGTGGAATCTTTACAATATGCGCTATTCCGGTCAAGTGGACGAGAACTTTATTGTTGTGTTGACTACCTCACAGAAGCTTATTGAAAAAGCCAACTCGATACATTTCAAACACTCCAAGAACCATAAGGATGCGTCACACCGAAATTCTAACGAAAAAAGGATCAATTAATTTTACGACTAGGCTGTATGGACATTTTTTGCCTTCCCTAGAAAGGGAGAATCTTAAAAAAAAGTTGACATTAGTCATCCGACCCACGGACTGCAAATTGAAAATTTTAAATGAAGTGAAAAAAAGTTATTACCAACTAACAATAGCAATAACTTAAAGGAACCGGTTTGCTAGTCAAAATAAGTAAATTCTCAATACATTAGTATTGTGAAACTAGATAGCTTTGGTAGTTGTGAAAATGCAAATAATAACCAAAGTTCGACTTTATCGCAGCCCATTTACTATTTGTTATATTTCCGAGGAAAACGTACTGCTGCCTGATGTCAAATCTGCTGAAATCCTCGGCATTAAATGTGGAGATAGTAATGAAGTTCAAGTTAATGACAAAAGGGACAAGAGGAACAAATTAAAGTTCGCAGTATCCGCGCTATTTTTGCAACCGTTTTTAAAAGAGTGCTTGAGTTCAGACGTATACAGAGGAAATGTTTTAATTAATTTACATAAATTTTGCGGATTTCCTAAGAACGGGACAGTGTTTTTGAAGTTAATATTAGAGCCACCAGACAGAGAGCTTATTGACTATGCATGGTACGTAATTATTCTATTGTGCATTATAAATATTCCAATGTTAAGTTTCAATATTTTGCTTTCAAAATGTAGACTTCGATCTAATAAAATAGATATCTAGAGAATAATGCATTATTATGTTCACACTTTTGGGAAATTGCATCCTCAGAAAACAGAGGAGGTATAGGTAACCACAAATTTCTTGAGCAAAACTACAGATAAATAAAAACGCGCAGTAGATATTATTGTATGTAAAATTGCTACTGCAGAGGCTTCTTTGTCAAAGGTCTATGCCAGGGTGTATATCTGATAAATGCATAATGCATTCCTTACTCTCTGTAAACTTGTTGCTCAACACTGCACCTACCTCTGGCCAGTTTAAGTAGCAATATAAATTGTGTATTTATCACTTGTATATTGTTTACAAATATTTTAATTTGAATCTAATCTCATTACTGTGTATATCATTTTATTTGCAGGAATGAAAGGATGTTAAGAGTTATTTGGACCAGAGTAGAGATAGAGAATGCTTTCCACTGGCTCTCAACATTGGGGGGAGCTTATTCTGCTTTAGGAGATTATTTTGAGCATTGTGTAAGTGTTTACTTGTATTATTGTTTATGCATTTTTTATAAATAATACTAATGTGTGGGTTACAATATTAATGTTTTTCTCAACAGTGAAGTTAAATATGTAGAAATATTTGTAAGTTAACTATGCCGAAATTATTGTACTGATTTTGCTAAGTATTCAATTAATATAAAATTCTGTTTTTCATTAAGATGAACAGTATAAGAAAAACACAAACATTAATTAATTTGTTTTTTTCTTATACTGTTCATCTTAATGAAACACAGAATTTTTACTGCATCTGTTATTGTCTTACCAGAACAAACATGCAGATTTAGATGTGTACACACTCATGATATTTTTATCTTGCATTTAGTGACAAAGTTGCACATACAATTACTTACAATGTCTCATTACTGTATCTCAATACTTAGAACTATTTGTAATAAAATCTTTTTGACTAATTTTTTAGGCTGAAGAAGCAGGTAGGATATCAACTCGGCAATACAAATTATCAAAAATGCTCGGAGATGATGCCTTAGCAGCCAGAAGTAAACTTTATTCTGCCTTATCATTCTCACAGAAAGGTAAACTAAAATTGGCCCGTCACATTGTTAGGAATGTTGCAGCGTTTGGAAGAGACACACATGACAAGCGTCTGATACGCATGTGTCAAGGTGTGTGGGCAAAGTTAAGGTACCTTAGGAATTTGAAGAAGACACAGGGTAAAGATTTGATTTCTTGTAATGGTGAATTAGTTCTGAAATGAGCCATACAGTTCTTCTAGTATCAGTTTAAGGAGGTAACATACAATATTTACCAACTCAGAGAAACTCAGATATGCTAATTAATTTTTAAGATTTGAAAGTTGATGCTATCACAACAGCAATGGATAGCCTGCCACTTTGACAAGCATTAGATTTAATTGATATCTCTAAGTGCATTCAAAAGCAATGTAATAAACAATGAATTAAGTCAGCATATGCCTTGTGTTTTCCTAATATTGCCAAGTCACAAAATTTTCTTTTTTCTATAATTTGATTGTCCTGTAAGTGTTTGAAGTTTTTTTGATCTCAAAGTTTATGATGTATGTTTGGATCCAATGAGTTTTTACAGATACAGTAAAAAATACTCACTGATGTCAATTATATCAATAAGTTCTTGAAAAAAAAATGATCTGTTGAGCGAGTCAACTAGTAAGTGGTGTGAATATTGTAATGGGTAAAGCAATACAATACACATTTGTTGGGCAATGTAAATAAATATATTTTGTTGATTTACCAGTTTTCATTCTTTTATTTGTAATAGTATGAAATCTATCATATTATCCCTTTTATTTTAATTTAATATATGTGTTGTCATTGGATGCAGTTTGTATATTTTGAATGTTAAATTTTCAACAAAATAATATTGTTTTCATGTTATGCAACTTTTTTACTAAAAGACAAGTAAACATGTTGTTACAGAGTTAAAAAAAACAATGCTTACTGAATGTACATTTTATTGTATAAAATGATATAAACAAAAAACAAAATAATATTATAAAACAGATGTAATACATCTGTTGCTACCTACATTGGTGACCATTTTCGTTAGTAAAAAATTCATGTACACAGTTATTAAATTATCATATTAATATTGCCTGCTACATACATATCTTAAAATATCTATTTTTAGTGGCATTAATATTATAATAACAGGACAGAGAAACCAAATTATGCAGTTTCTGTACAGAATAATATGATTCCAATTAATTTATTTCTTGGAAATATAATGAGTAAACATGAGTACCTATTAGTACTTCTTAACATGTAGCATGTCATCAAGGTTGAAACTTGGTTGTGGCATGGTTTGATGAAAAATACTTGTTTGGGGAATGAAGATATCTACTTAGCAGGAATATTGTTAATTATCCTTGTTTTTATCTAGTACTTGCAGGTAATTTTATTATTATGAGTATAACTTTATTGATCCTACCTACCGCAAACTTGCGTAGACGCATCGTTATGTACAAACGCGTTTATTATACAACTTAAGGCCGCATAGGTGCGTTATTAACGATCGATAATATCGGATGCGTAGTTGCGATTTCTATTTTTTAGTACATTTTGTATGAGAACGTTTACGAAGTTACATACTGATGCCATTATAACGACGCAATAGAAGTATGACGAAAAATCGCAATTACTATAATACCGCGCCTATGGAGGTAGGAGGCTTTATTAGCCACATTTTAAGTTCTTTGCGTAGATTGTAAGTTTTAATTTAACATATTTATTGAGTTGCAATATCTGCTCTTGGATGTGTAAATTCCATCCAAGTATCTATTGGTAACTTTTATGAACACATTAGTTTCAGTAAAAAAGTAAATATTAATAAAAATACACTGGCACATAAAAATAAATTCTATACCCAACAGATTATAAGTAAATAAAAAATAGCATCGTAAAACTACTACTACATAATTAGTATTCTGTGCTGTAACTAGAAATTAACAGATTTAACAAAACTGGTTATTGAATTTTTTTACATTCGTATTACAATGTTCAAGTTCCTAATTGGACTGACTATACAATGTAAAAATAGTTTTTAACACTACAATTGTTCTACAAATTGTTTATAACGCTACAATGTAGATTAATGCTTACAAAATTGCTATTTTGATGAAGAAGAATTTTGACAAACCTTAGATAACAGTCTTTCAGATGAAGTTATTTTTATAAAAGCATTTGCTTGATCAATAAGACTAAAAGTATGGAGGTGTTGCCATTAAAAAATCCTTTTCGCTTGCTAAGTTCGTGAGAAAATTGGACGCAATATTTTATCAATATCTAGGTATTATCTCATAGGCGCCTCGTGGGCTACGGTGGCAATAGGTGAAGTTTCAAGGTTTCCTCCACTCCTGGTGTTATTCATGGTTGCAGTCTTGGTTGCAGAGCGGGCAAGCCAATGTGCCCATTGGGTCCCAGGCTGGCAACATTTTCGCTTCTTGTTTGAACACGTTCAAAACTTCTTCCGAGACATACTTCTTGTCTACGACCACCTGTTGGAGGTATATTCGTTTGTGTAAGATGCGTGTCTAGATTTTTTTAATTGGCAGCATAGCAACAAAATACGTCATTTAACAGTCACACACAGAGATGTTGATTTAATGTTTGTTAAAGTGACTTTGCTGTCTTATTCTATCGCTATCGCCAAATAAGTTTACTCCCATGAAACTTGAATGAAGTTTTTGAATACGAGCAGTAAGGGTACAGCAATCACTTATTCCCACTCACCATCATGCCGCTTGATCAAGTCAAAATCCTTTCGTGCCGTGGGGAGACATTTTGGAAGAACATGCTTCTTCCAAAATATCTCCCCACACACAGTCAGTTTGGCTTGATCAAGTCAAAATCCTTCCGTGCCGTGGGGAGACTTTTGGAAGGACATGCTTCTTCCAAAACGTCTCCTCACACAGTCAGTTTGGCTTGATCAAGACAAAATTCTTCCATGCCGTGGGGAGATATTTTGGAAGAACATGCTCTTCCAAAATGTCTAACCAAGCACAGTCAGTTTGGCTTGATCAAACCTATTGGACTTGTATTTAGTTTGTATGTTATACAATTGGCATAAAGTTCATTATGTCATGTACAATTTCATTATAAAGATTCGCTTATATTCCATGGAATTCCGCGGCGTGTAAGTACCTCAAAGACGAACTCCCTGAACCAGGGCTCTGTTAACAGCAGGTATCCCTTGTTATACTCCTTGTCACCATATGAGTTCTCCACTCTAAACTTGGTTGGATTGGACTGATCCTATAAAGAATTAAAAATTGGTTATGATTTATTTATTTACTAATTTCGTACACACACAATAAAACAGATAAGATGAACAGGAACAAGAAATTTGTACAAGGGCACTGTTTATTTCATATTGAAATTTCTTCCAGTAGGCTCGCGAAAGGAAATAACGTATAAAAGGTCGTCATGATTAAGTTTTCATGATTGTCATGATTGCTATTTTCTGAAAATAATGTAGGGTTCTTGTGGGATTCGCATAAAACGAACTACAGTTCAACAAGGGTCCTTACGAATGTGAGTGCCTGCTCAGGGAGGGTGGTACTGTTTACGTAAACGACAATCAAAATATGACGTTTTAAAAGACGGCGACGTTAGTTCCAATCATGGAGGTTAGAGAGATGAAGAACGATCGCTGTGGAAAATAGTGTCCCAGAAATATGTACAAAATAAGTGAGCCGCTGCGATCGCTAGGTTGTCTCAATAAAAGCGGGCTCATCTGCGCTAATTTGAAATGACCAATGCCGCGAAGAAAATTTGTATATACGAGTATATCGCTGCCGGAAACCGACTCCCATTTTTGAACCATCTCCTTTATCCTCTTCATTATAGTACTAGTGGCCGCCCGCGACTTCGTACGCGTGGAGTTAGTTAGAAATAAAGGTTCACTGCTCGTTCCCCGTAAGTGATGGCGTGATAATAAGTAGCCTATATGTTGACCCGACTTCTTAATAATATTCGTGCCAAATTTGAAGTAAATCCATGCAGTACTTTTTGAGTTTATCCCGGACATACATACAGACAACCAGGCAAAACTTCTAAAAACTATATTTTTGGCTTCGGTATCGATTGTAGATCACATCCCAAGTATTCTTTTAAAAAAATATTCAATGTATAGTTTTGACTTTCCTACCATTTTATTATATGTATAGATATACTATGAGAATATAATACGTACATCAGTGCCTACTCCAGTGAACACCATAGCGTGGGTCATGCAGGAGTCCCCATACTTGAGGCGATCGGCTTTCGATAAACCGACTTGCACGTCCGTGTTGAACAATAGCCGGTAGTCGTGACTGTATCAGATAAATATTAAATAAATACACAATATTTCTAACACACCAATTGGACGTTTTTAAATGAAAAGGATCCAACCCACAACCTCATCAAAAATTAGTTTAGTATATCCAAGTACTCCTTAAGGTTAATACTATTAAAACACGACAAAGATCGAAGTAAAATTCAAGTGTCATATGATTTTGTATTTGTATTTTGTAAAAAGATAAAGTTAAGGAATCTAAGAAGAAATACAATCTGAAATTAAAAAAATCATATCTCAAAACTAAGTTTGGGTGGGTTGGATCCTTTTCATTTAACAACATCCAATTAGCCTAGCCCAAAGTAATGGCGCAATTACATTTGGTCGTTAGCCCGAATACGAGTGCCAACTGAAATGAACGGATTCGAGTGCACCCGTATTCGGGTAGTTTTCGTTTTGGTTACCCGACCCCGTCTTTCAGCCCGCAATTCCGTGTAAATATTGCTTCGGGTGTTCGAATTCGAGTAATGCCTTTCGTGCACCCGAAATCGGGCTAACGACCAAGTGTAGTTGTGCCATAAGTACTGTAATGACGCAAAAAAAACTGTCAATGTTTCGCGCAATGTATGTTTGACTCTAATGTCAGATTGTTTGAAAGCCGTCAATGTGAGCTTGTGTAGCAACAAGAGTATCTACCACATGTAGTAGATATTTTTGCCACTTCCGTGCAGTTAATACAGTATCTAGGCGTGTAGTTAATCAAAGCTATAAAGCTTTGTGTTATGGTTACTAGAGTAAGTCTTCATTTATACCGCCGCAGAATGGAATGGATGCGAATTTTTGAAACTAATTACGAGGGAATTCTCGAACATACGCGAGGATTTCCCGAAGACGCACGACATTTTTTGTCTCGTATTTGGTTTGTATGTTATATAATTGACATAAAGTTAATTATGCTTTGTGAATTTTCTAAAATTTGCTTCCATCTCATTTCGCGGCAGTATAAAATCAGTTGGATTAAAATATTTTGAAACAAGTAGTGAAATGAGGATCACTATGTATGTAGAATCTCCTCACTAAAGAGAACGTTATAATATGCAATAACTATTTCAAGAGTAATAGGAAATATATACACCTTCCTAAAATTAGTTCTGATTTCGGCCAGGCAGCACACGATCTTGGGCTCACTGTATATATATATATATAGATATATAATAATGAAGGAATGTGAATTCTAAGTTAACTGAGAAACCTAACAACCGTATTAATAAAATTATTACGAACAGTTATAAACAGTTCTACTTATACCCACATTATACTTATTTCTTTTTGTATGGGGGTCTATACAAAAATATTTATATCGTTTATAAAAATATCCTAAAACGGCGCAAATTTGTAAATAACATATGGAATACATAACATAATACATTTTTGACTATTAATATTGTTATGATATCATAATTGCACAATGTGTGAGTTGATGTGGAGAAATTCTTACAAAAAAAAAAGATTTTTTTTATGTAATTTAACCTCTAGAGTCGTTGTCTGAAATGGCTAGTAAAGTTTCTCAAGTAACTCAAAATTCACGGTTATGAGAGTTAACCCCTCGTCTGTGTAAGTAGAGTATTGATTCTTACGCATCAAGATCCGTCAAGCCGTGTTTCCTCTCGAATCTTTTTGAGACTTCGCACCCGAACCACACCGCTTCCCCGCCCACTATGCTGTCCCTTACTGCCCTGTTAATCATCATATAATAAGTAAAAAAATATAAAAAATGAGTACGGACCACACATCTGCAATGAAACTTCTTTTCTTAAATAACCTAACATTAGGCGATGCGTAAGGTATAGGGGGATTGGAGCAACGCACGCATCACTCATATGTATGAATATATGTATATATATATAAATATATTTATAATATATATATATATATATATTGGTCGCGTGTGACGCTCGTAGCGTTTCAGCCTTCACCGAGTTACACTCATTTCATGCTCGTCGGGAAGAGCTGCACACGCAACCCACACACACACACACATATATGAAGTCGTGTCGCTCGTGACGCATTTCCATTTCAACTTTTCTATAGGATTTTTCCATTAACACCCTGTCCGAAAAGATGTTTCACTTTATAAACGTGGGTCAAACGACACCAGCGCCTCTGGCGTCAAGAATTGGCAATTTTCTTCCCCTTTATTAGCATATCTTCAAAGTAAGCACTATAAGACCTGTGTGTGTGTGTAGGGTGTTATGATTCCACGTAGAAGGGAATACGCCGAGTTAGCAGTCACCCACAAAACAGTGCACACGGCCCTAAAAGCTGATTCAGCGTAAGATCGCATATCGGTCGCTGCAATTGACGCAACTGGCGTAAACTGCTGACTACGAGCCTCGTGCCTCCACCGCAGCGGGCTACGTGACCGGACGAGGAGCGTCACTTAGATTCTTACATCGATCGAGTCGTGACTTAAAAATAATTAGACTATAATTTAATTGTAATAATTTTCCTTGTATCGGAAATTAAAGTTAGTTTTAGTAAAATAAAATTGTTTTTTTTTTGAGGCCTCCGGTCGTGGCTAACGTAATTAGGGTAACGGATGTATATATACAAACATAGGTTTATGTTTACAGAAAAATACATGCAAATCCATGTATTCATCATACACACATTTTCCTCAGCGGGATTTGAACCCGGAACCCCTGAGTAGGTGACGCCTTAAAACCCGGTGTAGCCACACTACGGAGGCCGTTAAAAACCATCATAAAAACATACATATGTAAAACATTTTTTTTAATTTGACGAAGCAGTCATCATAGCGTGCGTAACTTCTTGAGCAAGACCATAAACAAGAAGCCTGCGCAGAAATTTTACATAGAAAAACCTACTATCTACTGCTAAAGTTTTTTCGTCTGTGGTTTTGCTCAAGAAGTTAGCCGCTACCTATATCATGTTCTTTCAATAAAAAATAAAAGAAAATGTTCATATACTTGATGAGAGTCTCTATGGGCTGGTTGTTGTATCCAATCTGCCTTCCAGCACGTTGCCTAGACACTGCAGAGTATACAGACGCCCCAACCTAGATCTATGAATAAAACTAACTTGATGAGAGTCTCTATGGGCTGGTTGTTGTATCCAATCTGCCTTCCAGCACGTTGTCCAGACACTGCAGAGTATACAGACGCCCCAACCTAGGTCTATGAATAACTCACTTGATGAGAGTTTCTATGGGCTGGTTGTTGTCTCCAATCTGGCTTCCAGCACCTTGCCCCGACACTGCGCAGTATACAGACGCCCCAACCTAGGTCTATGATTAAAAATAACCTGGTTGTTGTATCCAAACTGCTTTTCAGCTCGTTGCCCAGACACTGCAGAGTATACAGACGCCCCAACCTAGGTCTATGAATAAAACTCACTTGATGAGAGTCTCTATGGGCTGGTTGTTGTATGCGGTCTGTCGGCCTCCCAGCACGTTGCCCAGACACTGCAGCGTATACAGTTGCCCGAACGGGTTTGACTCCCGGGGGTCGCTCACTAGACACACCTATAAAAACGAGGCAATCGTGAAAATCTGCCTGTGTATCATTTTGGAGGCAGGTAATTAGGTATTTTTCAGCTCTAGGTACTCCACACACACTCCACGGAAAAGGAATGTTACAACGTTATTTGTAAAATTAACGCAAATGAAAGATAAAATGGAAAGCTGTCCGATTGATAAAATTCTTGGTCAGAACAAGCAAAGGAATAGTTATTTATGATGTTAGTGCGGTAAGTTGATAAGTTAATTGGACCACGAATATATTATCAATTTATTATTGAGGAAGACGTGATGCGACTTTTCATGTATATCTTTGTAATATTTTGGTTATGTGAGTAAAGAAAAAATACGTGTCCAATACTTTTTTTAATCTGACTTGCGAAGCAAGGGACCAGTGAAAAATCTGTCATCATCATAGTTTAGAATCACGGTCAGGATCACTAATGTCGGAATAAAAAAAGGAGGAAAAAATCCTCTAGGCTGGGTAATCTTAGCCCGGAGGCCGCTCCCTAACCATTGTTGTTCGGGCACATCTTCGCGCTTAAAGAGCTGAACCGGTTTAGATGAAATTTGGTACTAATAGTTTAAGTCCCGGGAAGGGATATATCATACCTTTAATTCCAGAAATCATGTCAATATTAAAAAATGTGATGTGTTAAGTAACAAATACTTCATCACGCAAAACGGCTCAACGGATGTAGATGAAATTATAGCACACTTAGAGATAGTTTATTACCTGGATTGAGACAAGATTTTTACACTGGAAAAATTTTAGGCGATTGATGCGGGCGAAATCTCGGGCTGAAGCTACAAATATTCCGTTATACATAATAGTTCACCTACAAGGTAAAGAGATGGCGCTTCTCTGCAGTCTAAGAGATAATATTTTGATTGCTGTATGACACATCAATTAAAATATGAGTAGATTTTGTATTGGTAGTAGGGTTGCCAGATATACTATAATATATAGTATTCTACTATATTTTGCCTGTGTATATTATTATTATATACGAAACGCATAAAGTATGCTAAAATACTATATTTTAAACTTAAATTCAAAGATCACAAGTTGATGTTAAGGTAGTTAGTTAGGTTAAACATTTCCGAACGCACTCATAAAAAAAAGTGACGAACATAGAACATATTTATGCATGTAAAAATTGTAATAAGGACAATAATAAAAATACTGTATAGTGTGTACTTTATTTTTCGATCCTTCAACAAACCGTCAAACATTATATATCTCAGAAAAAAATCTGGCAACCCTTATTGGTAGCTACATATAAATAACAAGTAGTGTAAATGCTTAAACAAAAATACATATAATAAAAACACACGACATTTTGAACATTAACTGCCAGTTTCTGGTGACTTTAATCATAGTGTAGGTAGACAGTAGTGATGTGTAATCGATATCAAAATGCAGCGATTGTATTTTTAATTATATTAAAGTTACCTGGAAGAGATTATGTTTAAAAATAAGTACGCCTATTGCTTACACTATTATCTGTTATCTTATTTATGCCCTCTGAGGTGTATGTCAAATAAAGAATACTATAATGATACTTGTATTATCTTGTTTAATCTTGAGTATAGCCGTGTTCTATTTAGTCTTTACATTAGGTATGTTTAATTGAGTATGCGCATCTTACCTTATCGTCCACATTGAAGAGCGGTCTTACATAATTGTTATAGAATTCCTGTGGGGTTGTCTCGCCGAAACTACAATATGCCTTCTCTTTGTTATAATATTCGAAGTTGAACTTAGCCGGGGGTGTACCTGCAAGAACAATAAATTGTAATATTCGAAGTTGAACTTATCGGGGGTGTACCTGCAAGAAGAATAAAATTTGCCAAACACCTTTTTGGACAGAACGAGACAACGCGTGACTTAATGAAGCCCTTAAATTAATTACATGTTTTTGAGTACAGCTGTTACTCAGGTAACTATCCCGAGGCTTGGAAATTACAATATTTTTTTTTATCGTTATTTAAATTTATCTCATATTGAAATACAGCGACATTTTTTTATGACGAATGAATCTATAATATAATTTAATTTAAGAACATATTAGTAGGATTCAAGGAGCTCACCTAAGCAAGTCGCAACAATTTTATATACGACTTCTAGCTGTTTGTCGATGGTACTCTGTATTTCTTCGTCTGTAGCTTTAGCGGCCACTTTTTCTCTCAACTCTTTGGCGAATTCACGTAACTGCAAATGAATAATTAAAGGGGGATATAGCATATATATACATACATATCATCATCATCGGCCTATTAATGTCCTAACTGCTGGGGCACAGGCCTTCCCTATAAAGTTGCTTAACTTGAACGACCGCAGCCAAACGCGCTAACCACATGCGCCATCAAGCTCCTCCAACAGAATGAGAAAAAAATCGAAAACTGATGTTAGGTGAAAATTACGAAAAAAATCATTTAAAAAAATTATAACTCGAAAACTACGCAATGAGGGTGATTTGGATACTCCTCATCATAAAGTATCTTAATTTTACGCTTGAACGTCAACACGTATATTCATAATGGCTACAATCTCCGCCCTAAACAGCAAAGAGAATCTACATTTTAGCACAAAAACAGTTTTTAACTTCATCATAATCAGCCTATTAATGAATTACCTTAGACTGGTGTAAATATATACATCTTTTTTTGATGATATTCTTTATCTCCTTTTTCATTTGTCTAAATTCAACAATACCTAATAAGTTTTGTCATCTTAGGAAGGGACTGGCTTCTAATACACAAGTTTTACACCGGGAGTCAGGGTGATATTGATGAGTGCAAATGGGATACACCGAGTCAAAAAGTTTGTTATTTTAAGTATGAAACTGTTAGATTTACTTACCTTAGTCTTCAAAATTGCGTTCATATGCAGACTCCTTCTAGAGCTGAAGGATTCCTTAAAACAGTCTTTAGGAACCACCCCATACTTGTTAATGAGATTGACTATCATGTCCCATTGTCCGCCATCATTGATCGGATCCTAAAAAAATAATAAATATTTCCAACACTCACACCTATTACCCTACCCCCAAAGTAAGGCTTGTGTTATGGGATGCTAGGGTAACGGACAGAACACATATATTGTACATATACCTATATAAGTATATTTATATAGACATACATATTTAAAATCCATAACTGGAGTACAAATGCTCGTATTCATCACACAAACATCTGCCCCCACTGGGATCGAGTCGGCGACGACACCATGACCAGTCGGCCACGGAGGTCGTCAAAAAAATGTTTTGAGTTAATAAATCATTAGCCTAATAATGTCCCCATGCTGGAGCACAGGTCTTCCCTGTGGATGGAAAAGGGAGATTGGGCCATCGTGGTGGGTACCACGAGAGCACATTGCGGATTAGTGGTTGCTAACTTAAGGCTTAACGTGCCGTCCGAAGTACCGTGGAGCTTGAGATAGTAAATTTTTGGTCACCCATCCAATGACCGACCACTGCGAAAGTTTCACCACTTGAAGTCAAGATGACTAACCACTTGCGCCATCCTCTTTAAGTAATTCAGTTATCTATAAGCGATTCTTACAAAATGGAAAGTCATTGTCCGTAGACTAGTTTTAATTTTCTTCTTCAAAATCTTCAGAGATAGATTGTTGCAGGAGAACCGAAAGAGGTATTAAGATCAAAGTGAGTGTTGTAGTAAGAAATTATGCATGACGACATTTAATTGAAAAAATGTACTTTAATGTAATTATTCCAACCGCAGTGTTTATTTTATTTTAAAAGGGTGGTACACAAGCGTATGGCCCGTCTGATGGTTAGCGGCCACCATAGCCTATAGATGTTTGCGACACCAAAAATATCACACGCACCGTTGCCTACCCTGACCCAACACCCTACCCCAGTGGAGCCCTGGAAACTTACTCATCAGGAGAAACACAACACCACCAAATGGTAGTGTTATTATATTGTGTTCTTCTGTAAAGTGGAGATTATTCGACCTCCGTGGCCAAATGGTATATACCACCGGGTTTCATGGTCGCCTACTCGAGCGGTCTCGGGTTCGAATTCCAGTCACGGATGTTTAATTTAATATATATTTCTATATAAGTATACTTATATATGTACAGTATATGTATTCTATCCGTTACCCTAGCATCCCATAACACAAGCATTACAGTGCTTACTTTGGGGCTAGGCTAATTGGTGTGAGTGTTGGAAATATTTATATACTTATTTCCCCAGATGGGCGCTTCAATTCGGGTGGATAATCCATTATGTGTTAGAAATATAGCCTCCGTATTTACTATAATGTTTATTGGATCAAATTAGTTTATATGCTCTAAGCTAATACACCGCCTTTGCGAATCGGTGCAAATTAATGCAAACAAATTGTTTCCTATATATATTTAGTAAAAAAATCTGGGAACACATTTTGTGTAATTTTTGTGTATTTTGCAAATATTTCTAGTTCAAAATTATTATACAGAATGTTTATGCATTCATATTAAAAAAGAAATGCTAATGCAGTTACGATGATAAGGAACAGTCGCGGTTTGATAATAAAGTGTACCGTACGTGGTTAGATAAGGCAATGCTGATAGTGAATCTTACCTATTTTCAATGAATAAGTGGGAATTGAACCTATCATATTCCCTCTATCACCTTAATAAGGTTTACAGATTTCCATCGCCAGGGATGCTATACTTACAGGCTAATAAATACATCGAGTTAAGAAGGCAAAGAAGCAGAGCTTTAAGGAGGGCATAGCTGATTCTCCGCTCGAATTGGAGCCATCTGCGGAAGTAACTTCCACCTTACAAACGACCACCGTAAAATTAACACTACCTTTTGGTGGCGTCGTGTTTCTGTCGTCATAACAATGATATTAAATATCCTAGATACACCAACACGAACAAAATCGTGGCCGAAACCTGTCCTATAGGTACATTGGACGATTCGCGGAGCTCCGTAAGATGATCGTGTAGTCAAAAACAAAATAAGGCATTATTTAAACATTAAAAGTCACCTTTAACGCGTACCGTATAAGGTCTTAATTAAAACGCATGGGTCAAAGACTTATGACAGTTCGAAATGGAAGCTCGCAAAATTTTACGACTTATTGCTATATGCGGAAGAATATAGACCTTATTTCTTTTACTTCTACGAGCAATTCTAAATGCGCTGTTAGCAATACAGCGGGTACGGACCGCGAGGAAAAGAGACGGCTATACGGCGACGTATAACCGAACATGCATTTGAATATCACAAATATTTTATATTAAATCAGTTTACAGTAAATATTAGAACAAAATTTGCTTCAAATGCGTTAAATTAACAAACACTGATTAGATACCTGTTGAAAAAACGACGGTTTACGTACTATAAGTATTTATTTCGCATTTTTTCAGGGAGCTCTGCGGCATCTTGACTTTTCGACGGTCCGCGCGTGACTGTGAACCAAGAAGTGCTTGAGTGGAGTTCAAGCTCTTCTTCATTGGGCCACATTTGGAGCGCTCGTGGTGTATCTAGGGTATTTAATATCGTTGCGTCATAACGCTAAAATCGTCATTATAATGACTTTATTACCCACTGATATTAGACATTGTTATTTTTGTGTCGTATTACCTGGCATCGGATTTTGTTTTGTTTATCTTTAGCAAATTGTCAAACAATTTCCAGAAACATATCTTTTTAGGGTCTCGTACTTCAATCGACAAAAACGGAACCCTTATAAGATTACTCGGTTGTCGGTCTGTCACAGTCGATTTGCACGGAATCTTCTGGACCGATCAAGTTGAGGTAGTTACATATATGTACAGGTCGCGGCATGTAACTCTAGCGCTGAACAAATTGCGTCAGGGACAGCTGCGCATGGGCACGATTGGGGAGCCAATCGGCGCAACGCACGCCCACCCGCGCACCTCGTTTCCCCCCAACACATCTTAATTTTTACTTCTGCGCAATAACGGACAGCGCTAAAGTTTCGTGCCGCGACTTATAACGTTACTTCTAAGTAAAAATTGTACTACGACGTGACGTCATGCAAAATTTCAAATCAATGTATCTGTTATATATTTAGAATATGAAAGAAAAAATACGTGTCCAACAGTTTTTGATAATCTCCATGATATATAGACGAATAAAAGAAATTAGTAATCATCTCTATTGTAGCTGATTTGAAGCCATATTTAACTGACCTTGAGTAAGAAGTTGACGAGCCTGCCGTCGAGTTCCTCGCCCTGTTTAGCTGTGGAAACGATGTTGTTCAGCCAATAGTGTGATCGTTCTACTTTATCCCAGAAGAACAGGTAACTGCAGGTATACGACAGAGGGGTCAATGATATTATAAGTAAACTAGCTGTCCCAGCGAACTTCGTACCGCCATAAAACAATAGGGTTTGGTGGTAGAAGGGTGAAACTTTAGGGTTGAATGTTTTTTTGAATGATAAATAATAAAATAAAAAAAAAATGACCGAAAAAAATTACCACAGGTGGACCACCCTTAACATTTAGGGAGATGTTGTGTGATTCTCAGACCTACTGAATATGCATATAAAATTTTACGAAAATCGGTCGAGCCATTTAGGAGCAGTTCAATTACGCACACCGTGGCACGAGAATTTTATATATTAGAGATTTCATCATCAGCATCAGCTTATTGCCGTCATCACTCCTATCAGGCGCTGTCAGAGTATCATCGCACCAGCTCATGCTGAAACAGGGTCTTGGTTAACCCTCATTATTATTGTTATTCTATATTTTTACGATTTATTGTGTATTTCATATATTACACAATTGGGGTTAATTATACCTTTTTCTTTCTTTCTTTCACTGCAGGAGTACAGGCCTTCACTATGGATAAAATGGGAGACTGGGCCGTGGCCCACCACGCGGGCCTAGTGCATGCAGATTGGCGGGTGCTAACGACTGCAGATGCAGCCGGGACCAACGGTTTAAAGTGCCTTCCGAAGCATGGAGGAGCTCGAGATCATAAGTTTTTGGTCACCCGACCTATGACCGACCATTGCGAAAGTTGCTTAACGATCGCAGGCGGAATGCGCTAACCACCTGCCATCGAGCTGCCATTGGCCAAGTTTCTTATTCAGGATTTTTGGCTAAAAATTATGATTGATAACAAATATAATTATTAAGAATATTGGTGGTCCTTCGTGTAATAATTTCTTACCAGTTGCTGAGCACTGAGCACTTTTGAATATTGGGTTTTATTTTATAAAGATTCGTGTTTGAAATTGATTCGTCAGTACCAGAGGCCCATATACGAATTTTTACAGCTCCGTAATCGTATCTAATCGTCAAAGTTTCTAAGAAAACTAAGCAGCGCCCCTACTGGACGTAATAACAAACTGGGAGCGAGTTTGTTATTACGTTTTTCCATACAAAATTTGATGATGACAATATGATTACGAGCTGCCAAAATTCGTGCTTGGACCTCAGAATGGATTGTGCCAAAACTTGTAGTTTGCGAAAGTAAAAATTACTAATTAGGTTTCTTTCCTAGAAAAATCTGCACACGTCAGCTATTTTTGTCTGGACTCTTATATATGGTAGATAACTATCTGCCATATATGTAAGTCCAGATATATAAAAATATATTAGAAATAGGTGAAACTAGGCGTTAATTATTTCTAACCTTTGAGAGAACTCGAACTCGTCAATGCCATATTTTTTTGAGAACGGCAACCGCATGACGTTCAGCGCAGCGAACAGCCAGCAGCGGCCAGAGTTCTCCTGGTTCGTAACTGGTTTACCCTCGGATTCGACCTGTGTTACAACAGTTCCATCAACATTATCAGCCTACAGACGTCTACCTTGTAAGGGCACAATTCTTTGGACGGAATCAAGAGAACGGGCTTCTTGGCCTGTCCACATCTCCACGTCACGACGTCGCGTCGTGCTAGTGCACGGTATTGCAACGTCGCCGTGGGGCGGCGCGTCTGTCGCCGTCGTAAATGCCCTGTGTTTTAACGTGTCGCGGCGCGCCAGAAGCACATCAGTTTGATACATTTACTATGGTTAAAAACATATTTTCATGTCGTGTTGGTGTTGTGGTTGTGTCTACGCTCTAACCTCTCTCTCATATTATGATGCTATGCCTACTCCCTTCGGAGTTGCTCTATGTTTGCCAAACTCATAACCTTAGCATAGGAATGGCTAATCATTGTAAAAGTGGTGTTGATTTAAAAAACATGCGGTATCTACAACTTACTTAGTAACCTTCTATTTTTACATTTATATCTTGGTTTGTTATTTATATATGACTTAACTTATATAAAAGTCTGTGATGTTGTTACTTATGAGAAAGAATGGTATGAAAGTAATTCAAACTTCCTTACTAATCGGTAATAAGCCCCGATGAGACGAGTTCGCTAGTAGTTTGTAAACTCGCCCCGTGTCATCGGCATTTTTACCAGCTGCTACTCGATGATACGGGGCTAGTTTTTACAAGTTATTAGCGAACTCGCTTGCTTGTAGCTTGTAAACTCGCCCCGTGTGATCGAGGCTGCAGGGAGTGCGCTGCGTTAAGCGGGAACACGGAGCGGACGCCCGCAACGCAACGCTGCATGAGGCGGGTTTCCCGTGGCAGCGCTATTCTATGAAACGAACTTGGTACTTTTCCTGTGACGAAAATTCAACTTACTTTAATGTTAAATACGTGAAGAGCAGCATCTGTACGCTTTCTGCTGATGGCTACCTCAAAGGGATCTATACGGGTGCAAGCATTTTGGGCCAATTCATTCTTAGGATCTTTATGGTATTCATCTCGCAACTTTTTGATTGTTTCCAAACTAATCGGATCTGAAACAAAACAACAAACAAAAGAATCTATATTGAAACTTTAAGAAATTTTTTGATTAAAGACTATATAAAATGGAATTTCACTCGGGTCCAATTTAATTTTAGCATGACTTTTGTACTTTAAACATCCAGCATTAACTGCTGTGTTTAAAGTACAAGACACTTATGAAAAATTTTGTATAATTTGAATTAAATAATTGTAGTTTATCATATTTTATTTTGAACATTTAACTGCTAGATGTTTGAATCTAAAAAAAATTTACTAAAAATAAATCCATGCGGATCAGGCAGCAGACAGGATTCAAACCAGCACCCTCCACAGTGCTAAAACGTGGTTGTCTTCAAAAGAGGTTTAAATGTCACAGCTGTGTCACTGGGATTGTTTATGTCCACGGGTGACTGTGACCACTTAACATCAGGTGGACTCTTCCACCTTTGAAAGGCAATATAAAACTTAATTCAGTTTAGAATACCACTTTATCTTTTCTTTTCTATCTTTTTTAAGTGTTTGAAGCCAAATAATTATATTGTCATTGTACAGTGCAACCCCTGTTAATAGAAATTAGTTGATAATACCTTTTTTTTTCATTTGTGACAATCCATTAATGTGTTTTTAGTGACAACACATATTGGATTAATTAAAACACATTCAGGCAATATGCATAAGCAACAATGCATTAATGTGACATATAACAAAACACAATGGATTAATTAAAACAGGTTGATGGGTTTTCTCTGATGAAAAACTGAGTCCATTTGTATTATCAATTTATTTGGGTTTCCAGTCACCCATTTTAATTTACTGGATTTTCAGTGGACAATGGCGATAAGGGATGAGATTATAACAATATTTCATTTACATTTCAGTTATGAATGTTAATGCGTGGCCCCATAAATTATATAAAATGAATTTAATTAAATAGATAAGTTATTTTAATCTTTGGTAAAAGCAAAGTTTATTTGTACCCGTACACCTAATTTAACAAGCCCTGGTTGGAAATCTTCCATTATTATGACTTCAATTTTATCAGTAATTAATAATAATAATATTCTTTATTGTAATACACCATAGAAAACACACAAGTAAATTAAAACATGATAGATAGCACATACACAATATAGGCGGCCTTATTGCTAGGCAGCATTTTCTTCCAGGCAACCCATAATAGAAAGATAAATAAATATGAAGGAGATAAGGAGGGGTGTTATAGAAAAACAATGATATTAATGCCAGGAAGAACAGATATATATTAATCATTGTTTCTTTTTTAAATATCTACACAGAACACAATTTTCACATGTAGTTTTTAAGGATTTATGTGAATTTCGTGACATTTTATTTTATGAAAGTCTGTCTGATAACCATTATATCTTTTGACATTAGTTTGAAATGGAATATATATATTTCAATTTCATATAAAAGTGTCAATGGTCCTAAATAATAGTATGGAATTAGTAGGAGTATATCGCATTTATATATAGCAAAATAAAAGTTTGAATGTAAAGGTCAGTGATATTTTATTGTCATGTCAAAACAATTACCAAAACTAAATAATTCCGAGTTTACTTAGTAAACTACATGAAATATTAACCTGAATACTAGTCAGCATTATTTGAAATACTTATTTTGGTATGTGTATTATTAATAGAAAATGAAAAGTAACTAAAAAGTTAAAACTTACTTGTTGTCATTGTAGCAACCGATTTCTGTATGAAACAAGAGATCCTGCACTTAATTAATGTAGTAACGAATGATTTTGCAAGCATCTATTTTCAAGTATTTATACCAAGTGATTTTATGACGACAGAGGCAGCGAGTGAAAATAATATTTCGTAGGTACTTTTCTCATTCCTAAATGAATGAATGACAGGTCATTTTCAAACAACCTCGGTCATTGAACCGAAAGCAGCTGACAATCTGTCATCTGCTGTCAATGTTTTTTGGTAAATTCTTCCTATCAAGGAAGGTAAAGAAAACAAAGGCCATACATCATAGCCTATAATATAAATCATAATTTTTGTTCTTGATTTTCATTAGAAAATCGAAAAATGATTCTAGAAATATTAGGCATTATATATATACTATAATAGTAAATGATTTGTCATATCTATTTATAAATACAAAAACCCTTTTATTAAATATTTCTCAGCTAAACAATATTTAACTACTATAGTAGCGGCACGCTATGATGAAAGGAATTATAAATTATATTATATAAATTGATTAAAGTTTCATGCAAGTAATCTATATGAGTCAGCACTTCCATGCTAGCCATTGTCCCGATTTAGGTAAGACTTTGGTACTTTAAACCATAATAAAAAAAATGGATGCGTGTAACTTATGTACGCGCGTGAGAAGCTATACTTCTTTAGCATCATTAAAAATATTTTTTAATTGCATGCAAATAATTAATAATTACAATAAAATAATAAAAGGACTGGAAAAGGATAGTTAACACAGTCAATTAAGTTCAGTTTTAATTTGAAAAATTAAATAAATATTCAAAATATTCAATTAAAATCACTACTGAATTTAAGTTATTAGTCCATATGTAATTAGCACTTGTAAGTAACTAAAACACGTTGTGTCTATATAGAAACTAGAAACATGTGGATAAATATTATAAATATGAAAACAGTGATCAGAGGCGACGAGCGTGCCAACATTGTTTTTGACAACGCGATCATCTTATGGAGCTCCGTGGATCGTTCAAAGTACCTTTCGAACAGACCAGTTGACGCGCCCGCGGCCAACTTCATGGTGTTACTATTGTGTTACAGTGATGCGCGCGCATCTCGAAATTTCACTCACATGATTTTTTCATAACGCGCCCGCGGCTAACTTCATTAAGTTACATTTGTGTTACAGTGATGCGTGCGCATCTTAAAATTTCACTCTCATAATTTTTTCATAACGCGGCTAAAGAAGTATAACTTCAATAATAAATATTATAAATATGAAAACAGTGATCAGAGGCGACGAGCGTCCCAACATGTGCGACTAAGCGATCCTATTACTATTTTGTTGGAAGCTTTTTTCGAGACTTACGAGTAATGTGCGGTTTAGCGGCCGACTTCATGGTGTTACTTTTCTGTTATAGTGTTGCGCGCGCATCTTAAAATTTCACTCTCATCATTTTTTCATAACGCGCCCGCGGCTAACTTCATTAAGTTACTTTTGTGTTACAGAAATACAATATTAAGTAGGTAATCTGTCAAAAAACATCTAGATTTTTAATTTTAAATTAATTTATATAATGGTTTTATTATTATTGTCATTAAGAAATGTTATAACATTCAAATAATAATATATCATAATGTACTTATTCACCACATAACTCGCCATTTGTGTTGTTCGAAATTCAAAGTGTAAAAACATTAAATCAATAAGATTGCTAATAGGAGCGCTGAGCGTGTGTATAAATATATGCTTTCGTTTTATTCAATCTTTATAATCAGCAACTTTTTGCAATATTGGTAAAAATGAAATAAAAATATCTAGATGTCACTCGTATTTGATTTTAAAGGATTATTTCGATAACAGGTTGACTTTTCGTATTGTAAGTTGTAATGTGACAAAACGGCCATCATATCGTGCCGCGACTATAAACCGATATTTGTTTACTGGACATTATTGTAAACATGCTTGTAACAAAACAGCACTATGTTTGCCTCAAAATAAATTATATTAAGTCTCTGAGCCCTATCTCTGCCTCAATGTTTCATAGTATTCTTGGGTATAGTGCGACCAAGATTTTTATGAAGGTGGTGAAAATTGGAACTAACGTTAACCTTCTTTGTTAACGTTATATATATTTTATATGTAATTAACGATCATTTACGTAGACATTAGTCCTCCCCCTGATTTGTCACTCACATTCATAAAGCTCTTTGTCGCACTGTAATATGAATGTAACATAACAGTGTTTTCACGAATGGCAATTTGACTTTAGCGGGAAATTCAAATACTTCCGAAATGGGAATAAACAATTTTTTGGGTTTTTTTGCAAGTGTTTATTGAATGAAATAACAAAGAAAACTAATAATAAAATGAAATATATAAAATATTGGCTAATATACTTCTTTTTTGTAGAAATATAGGCCAAGATCATAAAGGAATAGAAAATCAATACATCAGACAAAATAACCTGACTAAGTTAAGATGTTATTCCATGGTAGTATTTTCCGAAGAACTGCGGGTTCTGTGTTTGGGATATCTAACTTTCCCGAGTTCGATTTTATATTAGGTCAAGGGCTTATACAAGTACTAGTGCCTAGATGTAAAATAGGTCCCGAAATTAGTAACAAAAATGTCGTTGAAGGCATACGAGGATGCTTGCACAAGAGCCGAATTATTTGGACAACCTTTACCAGACAAAGAAGAGTTTTTAGAAAAACATAAACATTTGGACGTGGTTGAATTCGAGGAAATCGAAATTAGAACTGCTGAGGTAAGTTCCAACTATTTGTTTGTGCTATTTAAATGTAAGTAAATAATATTTTATTTTATTTCACTATCGCTGAATGAACGAAAGATTATATTATACACCTATTCTGTGTAATGAATAATTTATTTTGTCATTTATTTAGTCTTGAATTGGTAAAGACAAATACCTATTTTGAGCTTTGAAAGTATGCTTAGGAGAGACTGTGATATTCATTCCAATAATTTTAATATCTATGTAAAAGCTGTTAATAAAATATTTTATTGTTAAAAAAATGGTGCATAAAAATATGATAACAAGGTGCAAGTAAAACTTTTAAATAAATTGAAATATTTCTTTCCTCGGATGGGAATCGAATCCGTGTTGCCCGGACAGTACCACTTCAGTAGCTTTCTACCACTGAACTACGATGATTGTTGAAATGGTCTGAATTTTTAATAACAATTTAAAATTTTATGTAGCTATTTAAAACGTTACACTTTAAAGTTAAGTGAGACTCGCTCACGTAGGGAATAGTTGCGTAAATACCATTAAACAAGATTTAACAATACGTCGAGCAAAAAACTAGCTAACGATATATAACTTACTAGAATCCTACCAGGAATAATATCTTTCATTGTCATTCATTGTCAGCGCAAATTATGCCATTAAAAATTCAACCCTTTTTCCTTGGTCTCCCCATAAGTTAATAACGACTTTACCGTTTTTAATACTTTGTAGTACGTTACGTTAAAGTTAGAAAAAAAATAAGAAAGTTGCGTAGAAAATTAGAAAACTTAAGAAAAATTATCTTACAACTCTACTCACTCTTCTCCGCTACCACTCTACTTTATTGTGACACTGCTTTTTTTGGTTTATCCTAATGATGTTGGTTTATGTCGAGCAAAAAGGGAAGGGAAGGCCTGTGCCCCAGCAGTGGGGACATTAATAGGCTGATGATGAGGATTGGTTTATGCAGGCAAACGAGCTGGCAATCCACCTGATGGTGCACTGCCGCCCATTGTCCCTCTGCCAATACACTTGTAGCACCAAGGGTGCTACTCATGCGCTGCCGGCTCTGAAGGGAAATGTTACCCGGCTTTTGAAAGACCGCCATATCATAGCTTTGAAGGAAAACCGCTGAGGGAAGTTCGTTCCAAATCTTTCTGGTGTACAATATAAAAGAATGCGCGTAACGCATGGTGCTAGAACGGCAAGCGTCCAGATGTTGGGAGTAGTCTTGGGCATAGTAGTTCGCAACTAAGATCGCTCAGTTTAGGTCGCCGACCCTAAATGAACTAGTTCGCTCTTCTAGTTCGTCAGCTCCCAGCTCAAATCAGTGAAAGACAGATCATTCGTTCGTTTTGATATTGCTCTGGCCGTATGTGACAAGATTATCGAATGCTGTACTTTTAAAACAGCAAAAACCGCCGTTTGAAAAGAAGTAGTGATAAAAATATATTTCTTAATATTTCAACTTTTTCAAATACGTCTGTAGAAGTTATTGTTCATTGAAGACTTATTTAAAGATAAACTGTGTGTCAAACACAGAGCCGACATCTAAAAACCCTCCAAATGTTACCCGTGTGTGTATGATGAGTTTCGTAACGACATACGTTCGGTTAATGCTATTCGCTCATTCGGTTACGAACGCGAACTAATAAACTATGGAACGGGGAATGAGGGAACTAGTTCGAGTAGTTTACCCGTGGGAGCGCTCTTACGACCTAGTTCGTTCGCGAACTACATAAGACTAGTTGGGAGTGAAACTTCCCTCTGTGGCTTATGGTGCGATGAAGGAGCTTGGCCGCTGGCGCCAGATTGAATATCTAATTTCTTGGAACACTCGCCATTGTATAGACCAGGGATGGGCAAACATTTTCCTTTCGTGCCAATAATTAGGTACTATCAGAATCACAAAACACACAAAGAGGTTAGAAGGGAGCTCATAGACCGTTTGTGCAGGAACCAATGTCGCTGGCTCGCTCCCACTACACTTCCACCTAATAATAGCCAATCAAACGACGCGAAATCAAACAATTGACCCAATCAGCGCTTACACCTGAGAGCAACGACGCAATCAGAACCAGATTTTGGTCAAATAATGAGCATTTGCTCACACATAACTGTGGCGCGCCTGCTTCGCCCACAAGGCCCTTCCAACCTCTTTCTGTGTTCTGTGATCAGGATCTATAGCGGGCGCGCCTGCTTCGCCCACAAAGCCCTTCCAACCTCTTTCTGTGTTCTGTGATCAGGATCTATAGCGGGCTAAGTCTTTGCTCAGGAAATACGACATTTTTTTTATTAAATCAAATCAAAATTGGTATAGCACGTAACGAAAGTAACCAGGTTCGGCAGCGGGTGGTCCTTGTCGGAACTTCACAAATTTAACTTTTTGATGAGAAGCTTTGATTTTGTTTAGATGGTCGCAGGCTAGATTTAGCCCTTTCGAGGGACGGAGATGACCCGCGGGCCGTAATTTGCTCATTTCTGGTATTGACGGTAGAACACGCACAGACACTGCTGTCTGAGTTGAAGGATTTCTGTTTTCTTATTTCTATCGAGCAGAACAACATCTGGCGGCTCCACTAGTAAATAATACACGTATGAGTTATACAAATAATCAGCATATGTTTTAATTTTTAGAACACGGCCATGCTAGATGACCGTATGAAGGAAGCCAATGGCGGTTTGCAGGAGTTAAACACCATTCTAAATTCTACACAAACGAAAATTAATAAACTGAAGGTATGACTTTCTTAATTATTAATATTAGTAAGATACAAGTTTTGTTTAGTACGAAGCACGATGTCCTGGTTTTCTTGTTGTGGGGGCCTCTGGTCCACAGCCCCGCCTCATATCCGGGACTGCTCTTATAGTTTGGCACTACTGCAAGAGACATGGCCATGACTCATAGTACGGTAGGTCTAAGTAGGTACGTAGAGTAAGTGCACCCGGATGCAAAATTTTAAAATACGTCCCCCTTTCCCCTCCACTTCTTCATAGCCCCCAGAGCCTCTACTGTTCTTAATCAGGTCCTATGTAAAAATGCTATCAAGATTCTAAACTTTTAAGTACGGATGGGCTTTATGTTAAGATTAAACACTAACCGCCTTATTACAAAACGCTTTTAGAAGATTTTTGCTAAATAGAAGACAGAGAACATTAGGTTTAAACCAAGACTAACTTTAGTCCGTGTTTTAGAATCAGGCGGTAACAGTTTACTTTTGTCAATTACAGGGTGTCTGTGGTAGCCTAACCAATTTCTTTCGCGTGAAGCTATCTGCTCGAGACAACCTATCCTACTCAAGTGAACAAAGTTACGTCGGGCAAACCAACTACGACAAAGACTTCATTCCGCCTTCCACTGACGACATATCTTCCATAAATCAGGGGTTAGGCCCAAATGACAACGAGATGACGCCACGACAAGATGGCGGCGTGCAAAATGGCGGCAAACAAGATGGCGGCGATATAAACACAGCGCTGAAGGATTTGGAAGACATGCAAAACACATCGTTGATTAATAAAGGGGCTGTCAAAGATATTGGCAAACAGATAACTTCACAAGTGAGTAAATTAGATCAGCTGTTGCAGCAGGCGGAACGTGCAGAGTCTTCCTTGAGCCATCAAAACAAGCAAATGAGATCGTTACTCCGATAAGTGGGTAGCTAGGTAGATAACAAATAATCTTTCTCGAATCTTCTGTGACATGTGTTGGCTTCGCAAAGAAAATTGTTAGTGCTGAATAGGCTTGTTAGCTTTGGGCTAGTGAAATAACCTTATGGATTAGGTAAGTAATTTATAGCATTTAATGCAACGCGTGTAAATTGATCGGAAGTAACTTAAGACGCGATTTATGAAAATGATCGATGAAACAGAGGGCTGTGTTTTTTTTAATTTAAAAAGTAGGTCGGTACGTACCTGCATAAATTATTAGTGATTATTTAACCAAAAAAGGATTACTTGAATATGAAAACTTACTTTAGTTCGTTAGTAAAGAACGATCATTTCATAGACTATTACTATAGCTATTTACTTAGTTATCTCGTAGGACGGTATGATAAATCGATTTTTTGGGAAAATCCTGGGGACGAAAATCTGGGGCTATTTATGAGAGGCGTGAAGAAGCATTTTTGCAGGCCGGCAAGGTGATGATGGTTAGTGTGGCAGTTTATAACTGTTGTACCAGCTATCTTCGCGTTTGGACTTTATCACCACCTAACATCAGGTGGGGTAGAGTCATTTGCGTACCTGGCTATATATGTATAAAAAAAAAGATTCGGAAACAATTAGACAATGGAGAATAATGTTATTGTTAACGATTTTTTATCTGGTGCTTCGTCAGCCGCTGCCGCTGCAATCGCTCGGCTCGCTGTATTCGCTCAGCACGCGCGTCATGATCACAAACCTAACAAACCTAACCTAATCTAGTAAACCCAAAAACCCAATTATATTTATGATAAGCCAACGATTCTTTTTTCGCAGTCTTACTAAGGCGACTCGCGTTTTCGCAAAAATCCTATGTTTTTTCAGTAAGATTGAGAAATGCCATCGCCATTGTCTATTTATATCTCTAGGATTTTAGTGAAAACTCGATTTATCGAATCATCCTACGACACTTACTCAAAACAAATACTTTTCAGTGCCCCAATACAAAAGTTGTACGTAGGATACGAACATCAATAAATTAATGTACTTCGGGTACTTACCGTCTGCCGTCATGTGTCGTTTCTACGTAGGTAACTACTACCTCAAGTTTGGATGTTTGTAAACTTGTCATCTTGTGGCACTATTATTCTTTCCAATTTCTATTATGTCTGTGATTCATGACCCATTATTGTGTATAATGTAGCATTATAATTTATATTATTGATGGTCCCATTAAAAAAAAATACGAGATTTATTTAACTGAATCCTATAAATATGTAGTCTACAGTAACTGTTAGCATCTTTATAATATTGTATCCGTTCATGATTGACATTGTATTATTGATAAGGTTAAGCGATATAAATACTTGTTTAAGTCTTGAACGAAATCACTTCGCTGTGTTAGTTTTTTTAAAATAATAGTAAGTAACTTGATTCTTCATCGTTATTTAAGTAAATAATAAAATGCTAGGGCGCTTGGAAACGAGACGATTTCTACTCGGGTCTAGGCACGGTTTTAAACCGTGTCTACGTCTAGTCGCCAGTTAAGTATGGAACACTATGGCCCCCTTATTAATAAACGAAGAATAGGCTTGGATTAGTTACTCCATGTTTTGTTACTGTACCCTTAGTACGAGTTTTACAATTACGAAAACTATGATAGTTTTTATGAGCTCGCACTCGTACTAACGGTACTGATTTTATTGTTTTCGTTTTGAATACAAATAAACAGTGTTTAAATTCTATCATTAAATCATTTGCGTCTTCTTAAATTTTAAGTATATTTAGTTACTTTTCACCAAAATGGACATAGTGTTCGTGAGCTCAAACTCGTACTAAGGGTACTGTTCGTCGTAAGACAAAATTAAATGGCATTTGAGTGATATAAGCAAAACACGGCATAACTAGTCTAAGCTTACTCCTCGTTGATTAATAAGGGGGTGTAGGTTTTGTTAACGACACTGGCGCTAGCGACGGTTTGCGGTCGGTACAAACGTAAAAACCGTTCTCGTATACAAGCTTAGCCGGCAGGGACCCGGGTAGAAACCGTGCCTATGTCCGGCGGAAAACCGGTCGTTAACAAGCGCCCCTAGGGTAACACCTTCCTTGTATGATAGGTCCTGTGCTTAATTCGGATTTCAATATTAAAAACTCAAACAGAATAAATAGAAATAAATATACTTTAATGATAAATGTAAAAGAAATGAACTTAACTAACTAACTTCGAAAGCTTTTCGTAGTGTTTGTGAATAAAGGCGTTTTTACATTTGGTCGTTAGTGCGTATTTGGGTGCACGAAAGACATTACTCTAATTGGGGCACCCGATGTGCAATATTTACAATGTTTTAACTCGAACACGGACTGGAAGGCGTCGAGTAACCAAAAATTAAAACTGTCCGAATACATGCGTACTCGACTTCGTTCATTTACACCTATAGCAGAACTACGCTCAACTATCGTGTTGTGTTGTGACCCATCAGAGAGTTAGAGAGCTATCTGTTTCATACATTTAGTATGGTGAGAACGGTGTCGACACATCGCAACACATAAAGTTTAGTTCTGACCGTACTATAGGTAGACCGCTTAACTGAATCCTCGCTTGCGGGGTAAAGGGTGTGGACAACACCCTGGATAAATGGAAAAAAAACTGATCGCGTCACAATATATTCATAAGTATATTTCTGCCTTTAGTCGTTTGTCTGAATTTCATACGCAATTGTATTCGGGATAACGACCAAGTGTAATTGCGCCATAAGAATGTTCTAAATGTTTTAGTGTAGAAGAAGCGTTTGTTATAAAAAGGTACAATTTATAATGATAATTAATCAATTTGAGTTTATGAAAAGAAGATTTGGGAAAAATTCTAAACGAGATGGTTTCTACCTGGATCTAGGCAAGGTTTTACACAGTGTTTGGCTAAGTACTCACGGCGCGATTTTTTTCCATGCTCGCCGCAGCTGCGGGACCGCAATTCGCTTATACTGTGAAATTATAGATAAAACGCAAAAGAAATGGCAGAACTACACTTATTTGCCGTGTTATGTTGTAAACTTGAGATGCATCAGAGAGCTATCTGTTTCATACATGTAGTATGGTTAGCGTGAGAACGGTGCGGACACATCGCAACAATTCGCGACACAAGTTCTAACTCTAATTAATAAATGTATAAAATCTATCGTGTCAAATCGCGTCACAACACAACAGGACAGATAAGTTGCCTTAAAACTCACGGCGAGATTTGCGCATTTTTTTTGTTACCTCCTAGGCGGGTGAGCGGTTGTCAAATTCTCATGGATACCCTACCATGTCAGACTCTTACTGATTAAAACACACGTGAGGGATGCCTATGGCCATAAGGGTCTTACAAGCTTCATCTGATGTGATCAACCCTTGAGAAGGGGATGATGCAGCGCTGCTTTGTAAATAAATACTACTGCATAGTGCGCTTAGAAGACGGATGATGTGAACCCGTATCTAATTGAGACTGAGCTACTGAAGAAGGCCTCTCAGGATCGGGGGACGGGGGCTCTCTGGCGCGCTGCAGCACTCCTCGGATGTGTTCATTTAGCTCCTCGGAGATCAGCCGGCCTATTCCTTAACTTATTTGATATTTACAATGATGTCGATTCAGCCTGATTCTCTAAAGCTAAACTTAAATTTGACAATAGTGCATCCCTGTCATTCTCTATACAGAATGAAAAAGAGAGACTGATGTTAAATTTAGTTTTAAGTTTGGTATCACGCCAGAATCGACACCAATGTGTAACTAAAGAGAAAATTGCAAATCCATCGATGCTTTTCAGAACAAATATCTTAATGGCGTTATAATAAAGCAGTAGTTGATCACTAAATAGCTCGGTAATTATCACTTCCATCTGCCAAAAGCAGTTAGCGTATAGGCCTACAGAAGGGCCTGGAGGTCGCGCGAGAGTTTGTCAGGGGGATCCGTTAGGACGTTTCTTGGCCTGCGGGGCCAGTACGAGTGGGGTGAGTGAGGGAGGGGCGTAGGCGGACGCTGATCTGATGAAAGGGCGCAATTTGCGCCCGCGGGAGCGTGCGGGCACAATACATACAAGAGCAGTAGCGTAACTCAGCCGTTTTCTTGAAATATATACCTACGACTGAGCGGAGCGCTAGGATTGGTACCTACAAAATATAAACATTTTTGTGTAGATTTTTATTGTATGTGTATAGTTACTATTGCCACGTTGTGCAATCGAAACGGAGGCAGACGGCGCGGGCGCAACTCGGCCAGCGACCAGTCCCGGCGACGCGCGACGTGGCACTGCGTAGATTTGTCTTGGCAACATTGGTAGCGGTCGTGTAAATGACGTGTCTGCGTGCATGCGTCGATTCAGGCGCTAGTATGAAGTCGGAGTACTGCTCCTGTATGTATTGTGGTGCGGGTGTTTGCTACATCTGCTGCGGGCGCGCGCGGGACGAGACAATAAGTTGGTCAGTACGTACATCAAGCGCAAACGCGATGGGTTTCGCAGCTGCGGCTGGCGCGGGAGAGCAGAAACTGTGGTCTCCTGTTAGTTTTGCATAAAAACTGCTCTGCGGCGGGCACAAGAAAATACCGATCTGGAGTTCTTAGTCAAACACGGTTTAAAACCGACAAAATCAAAAGTACCGAAACACCAATAATACATGATTTATTATTTGAACTTAGCAGGATCAACACTTTGATCAGATCAATCTGTGCCCTGTGGTAGAGTGTTGGGAGACATTAAGGGTATGAACATAATTACAGTGTAAAACTAAAAGGAGAAACAGAGAAATTGATTGACTGATATCCATGGATTTTATGGGCTTTTGCAACTTCTAGGAAGCTTAAGCATGTTTAAAAGGCTTATTATACATTTAAATGAGAGCTATAATATGACAATACAATATATTTACAATTCTTGAAGTATATAAGTGTCTATGATTAATCCATTTGAAATTATTTAAATTATATATTTTGATTTGTATAATAAGCATCTAACTGCTAGATGCTTCAATTTAAAGAACATTTTACTAGGTAAAACTACTTGGCCATCCGGGCTTAATGGCAGTGTCGAATTTCATATAGTATTTCTTAGGCTGAAAGGCAGCACCATCTCTTTGCGTTTTAGGTAATCTACAATGTCAAATGAAATATGTTTACTATTTGTTGTTGTCTACTACTTGTTTTTAAAACATTTTTCCACCAGGATAGCGGATTCAAATCCCGTCTGAACGCTGGTAGCTCCCGTCGCTAGTTACAATTTCTTTAGATTGTTTTGTATAATTTAGAATCGCGTGGATCTGGTATTTTTAAGCATACTCATGTGCATACTCGTGTTCCCTCCCTCTTCCAATCTGGGATCCTTTAAAAGAGGCGTGAAGAAGCAACATGCAGGCCGGCAGGGTGAGGATGGCTGGTGTGGCAGGTAGAACTGCTGTATCAGCTATCTTCATGTCTGGACTTCACCTTCACTTAACATCAGGTGGGGTGGAGTCATTTGTCGGACCTATCTATGAATAAAAAAAATCCAATGATTCATATCGTTGAGAATGTCTTTTATGCGTCTGAGTATGTTACAGTGATTTCGAGTAATAAATTAAATCTGCCAAGCAGACTTAATATTTGTAGTGCCTATGAATAAGTCTAAGTTAACCGGATCTTTAACTTTTCAAAAAGGGGCTTCCGGTCCGTATTTTTTATTAAGTATTCGAAATAAAAAATCGAAATGGACGTTTTTTTTTAAACTGCATGGTTGTTTGTTGCAGCCAAGTTATTTAAACGCAATACAACAACAATAATAGTTTCGATTCTGACATGATTCTCTAAACCTAAACTTAAATTTGACAACAGTGTATCCTTGTCATTCTCTATACTGAATGAAATGGAGAGACTGATGTCAAATTTAGTTTTAAGTTTGGAGAATCATCCCAAATTGACACCATAAACATACTAAAATATATTATGATCGTGATAATTTGTTAAGTTTTCTCTATTATAGCAATCGAATCGAGCATCTGCGTTAGAATTAAGACGATTATCGATGTGAATAATGTGATACAAATTACAATGTTGATGTTGAAAAATCAAATTATCATCATAATGTTATATTTTGTAATCCCTTCAATGAAAGTTAACCTCAAATATGTTCTGACCTATATCGAAATAAAGCTGTGATTTCTTACACGTGTATTTTTTATGTGTGTTAGTCCTTATGAGCGGACGCGAGCTGAGAGACATTTGAGAAATAGGTATTTGAAAAAACTATTGCTGTCACGCTTTGGCAAATACCGTGTGATAGGGACAACAGTAGCTAACGCTGAAAATTGCGTATAAAAATTGCAAACTTCGATGTTTGGTTCTTGACTCCTCCTCGTTCGAAAATCTATATATATAAAAACTCAGAGGTGACTGACTGACTGAGATAGTGATCTATCAACGCACAGCCCAAACCACTGGACGGATCGGGCTGAAATTTGGCATGCAGGTAGATGTTATGACGTAGGCATCCGCTAAGAAAGGATTTTGATCAATTCTACCCCCAAGGAGATAAAATAGGGAATGAAAGTTTGTATGAAACTTTGTCAATTTTAAACCGATCGGGCTGAGACTTTGCATGCAGGTATAAGAAGAATCATAGATGAATGTCATTGAGTATAATACAAGCCTGGGAACAAAAACTGTAGTCTACACTTCAGCTCTACACCGAAGCGAAGCGAGGGCGGGCCGCTAGTTAGATTTATTTAAATGAAATTTTACCCATAGAATAATAAAAAGTCATACTAGGCCTCTATGTTTTGCTTTTTTGTAAATGCTTATTGAATCTCCACACTAGGCGTTATTAGTGGCGATAAAAATTAATTTTTTTTTTTTCAGTTTTGAAGGCTTCTTGTTTCTTTGAATCACAAGTTATCGAAAAAATGAAGACAGATATCGCCAATATTTTTGTGAATTTAGGACAGATTTTCAAAATTTCTTTATTATAGAAAGATTATGCTCGCGTGGTTGTCCCATTTTCATCAAGTCACAATCCGATCATGAGTTCTTGGAGAAACTGAGGGAAACCTTACAATAGAGGTATTTTTTTAGTTTTTTTTTAAGTCAGTTCTTTTAGAAGAACTAATGACGAAGACTTTACCGGAACTACTGTTCCGGTGGCCATTCTGAAGTCTACTGAGTATAGTAGGAAGTATTTCACGGGTAAGTAAGTAAGTATTTCACTCTAAGTTGCTCAGTACTTTTTTTGTCACTATCAGGGAATAGAAAGTGAAGTACTATAGGAGAACTCCCTAAAACAACATTTATTAATTTAAAACATCTCTGTATGCGTTCATAAATAAAACGAAACATGAGAATTATTTTAACAAAATATATAAACACACTTAAAGAAATACTTAAAAATAAAATATTCTAGGTTTTGTTCGACTTGGTTCTTTATGAATGTGTTACAAATGGAGAACAAATAACTATACATAATAGACTAAAATTTACTTCTAGATGGCTCGTAGGAGTAACATTTGTTATACTACAATAAAAAAATCCAATATTTTACTATAAATTTGTGATCAGCATTTGGCGAGAGTGAAAAATTTGTACAGGTGCTGGAGAAAACATTGTTCATTATACAATCGGCATTATTTTAAAGTGAAAGTATAAACATATTGTATATCCGTATTTCAAAAGGAAAACAAAAACGGAACCCTTATAAGAACACTAATCCCCTATTGTGGAGCACTGGAACCTTATTTATCGACAGAAATACAACACCACCAAAAGTGTTATTGCATTGTGAGAAAAAGTCCCCAGACGGCATGTGTTTCTTAGACGGGTGCTACTATTCGAGGAGAGATTCCCCCTTCCTTACTCTCATAACTTAGTTTAGTTTTGCATTCGCTACAACTGATAAACACACCTATCTTTGATTCTGTTACCATACAAAGTTAATTCAGCAATCTTCCTGATACAATAACATTTATTTATTTAACATTGAAGTCACGCTAACTATCAGGGCCGCAGAAAAAACAAGCAGTCCAAGCGTGACTTTGCGTTCTATAAGAATCTGATTAACGTACCATGACCTGCCAATAGCTCCGCGTTCGATCAGCAGCGATGTTCCTCGTCTTGTTTCTCTGCCCATTCGTGCTGGTAGCTGCTAATCCGTTCCACAAGTACCCATATGTGTTCTTACTGGACGTCGGCAATGAAGAGTTACAGAAGACGAACACGGAACAAATAAGACTTACCATACCAGGAGGTTCCCTAGCGTTGAGGTATCCAGCTGTTGACACGGGAGAGACTATAGCTCATGTTAGAGTGAGCGGAATAGATTTTGGAACAGATCTCAAAGCCAATATTGTAGACGGCGGGCCTGGTTACAAATACGTCGTTGTTGTATTCATGGGTAACCAAGGTGTCCCGTATGATGCTGTGATGACTATCCAGACAGTATCCGATAGTGATATTAACGACGTTAATGAAAGCAGCGAAGGTAATTTGAGCAGTTCCAGTTTTAAAGATACCAAAGATGATAACAATAGTGCTGAGGTGACAGATAATGAAACTACAAATGAAGAAACCGCGAACACAAATTCAATTGATGCAAATGACAGCTCGGAAGATATGAGTGATGATACAGAAAGCCAAAAGGTTGGAAATAGTAACACGGAAGTAAGTCAGGGTAGTTCAAATGTTTATAGCTATGCGAAGAACGAAGAAAATGAAAATGTTGATGATGATGATGACAACAAAGGGGATGATGGAGACGATTGTGATAGTGATAACTTAGGAAATGATAATGATATTCACAGTCAGTACAGTGAAACTCGTCAAGAAATGGAAGTTAATGATTATCAAAAATATAGCGATATGAATTACGAGTACAATAGTGATCAAGATGAACCGGAGCAAAGTGTTTCTAGTGTATTCGATGATGACGAAAACGACGATAAGCCTGCAAGAGCGATAGGTAATAATTTATACCAAAGTTATGCAATGATCAGACCTGCTTTATACGGTGGAGTGAGGTTTTACCCTCAAAACGCTGTGCCTTTCATGGCGCGTGATAATAGTGGTTCAGCTTTTAATCAAGCAGCATTTGATCCAGCTTTTGAAGATGAAAATGAACACAACCAACCTGAAAAGTTCAGAGACTCTAACAACAATTTTTTCGATTCAGATGACAGCTCAGCTATCATGTCCTAGATTTATTCTGATACTTAAGAACTAGTTTTGTAAATAAGTCATAATAAGTAAGGAAATATTACCTTTAATTAGATAAAAAAGTTAATTCGTAAGTCAGGTTTTTATTTACTCAACACTAACAAAACAGTTGCATTCATTTAAAACAATTTCTAATAAAGTTTAAAGTTCGATAAGAAAATAAATAATAAATCTATCTTTATATGAACAATTTACTGAATTAGCAATCAGATATCGTTTAAATGTGTTTGTGGTGGTGTAGTAACATCAAATCATATAATTTTCAAGTGTAATCATGTGCGAATAAAGTTGAATGAGTTATGGGCTTATAAATAATTTAAAAGCAATGTTGAAGAATTGATGTCATTCTATTTTCTTTTCCGTAGGCGTACACGCGTTCCAATCAAAACGATTGGCAAAATAATGTTATATACAATTAACCAGTTTTTAGATAAGTTCAGTTGACAAACATTATTCTTATCCTATGCGATGGATTAGGAATCTTAAGAAGCGTTAATAGTAAGGTTGATATTTGTGTGGCTATAACCGGCGGCTTCGTTTTCAATAATTGGGAAGCCCTTATTATCTCACCGGGTAATCTGCGTTATCTTATTCAAATGACGCATGATATAAGTAAATTAGTGTTTCTTTTTGAGATACACGTGGTCCATTTTTGGTAATTTATTTCTTACACGCGCTACGTTTGTACGTCGTGTCATGTTAAACAAGTAGGCACCTACTTATTTCGCTTTTTTATTTATATGGAATTTCCATTAGCGTAACTTTAATAAACTTTGATTAGCAATAGCAGGTTATCAAATGTCAAATCCATAGAATCGATTATGAGGAAAATGAAAAGAATGCCCATTTGTTTTGAGCAGAATAGGAATTGGGTAAGTAATATGCAGCGTTGAGAAGATATTCTTAAAACTGATGATTATTATAAACGAGCGAGCCTTAGAGTAGTCGCATATGATGTGTAACATTTGAAAACCTCACCTTATATTAGTAAAAAAGAAATAAAATCTACTACAAAAGGAATAAGCCATTTGAACATTATGTTCTAAAATCAACACAAATAGCGCGCGTTTTCGCGACTTCCTGTTACACTTCCGTCCCATTTCACGAAATCACTTCCACAAATTGCAGGAAAGCGATAGGAAAGATGTTACACATCAAAAATGCAATATGAAAATCCCATGGTTAGGTAATATTATATCAGCCTATTAATGTCCCCACTGCTGGGGCACAGGCCTTCCCTATGGATGGAATAGGGAGATTGGGCCATGACCCACCACGCGGGCCCAGTGCTTATTGGTGGGTGCTAACGACTGCACATGCAGCTGGGACCAACGGCTTAACGTGCCTTCCGAAGCGCGGAGGAGCTCGAAATAGTAATTATTAATCACCCATCCAATGACCAACCACTGCGAAAGTTAAGTTCAACGATCGCAGCCGAACGCGCTAACCACTTGCGCCATCGAGCTCCTCGGGTAATATTAAAAAAAAACGGTAATATTATATAATAAGATTTAAATTAATATTTAAACAATACACTAGTAACATAATCATCATCTCGCTATATCAATTCCATCTCTGCTCTCAAGCTTATAGGCCCGTATTACAGAATGACAACTAAGTGTTGATTTTTACTTAAGTACAGTTAGAAAGGGATGTCGCTATGTGCTCTATATAGCGACATCCCTTTCTATCTATGCTCAAAACTAGATTCATTACTGAGAATCTTTCTATAATACGGGCCTTAGAGGATCAAGAGCTTACCCATTATCGATCGGTTCGGTTTCGGTGTGGTATCGTTTCATTTTGTTTGCGAGGGTGACAGGATGGGCGATTCGAATGGCTGAGTAGCACTCGCTAACACTCGGTAGAGAGAGCTGTGTATCCGTTAAGTATAAAATCTGAACCAATATCGAATTCGTAACGTTTGCGAGTCCGAAATGTCATTGTCAAATGTGTACTGTACCCCTAGCACGAACCATTATCGAATTCGAATAGTTTGCAAACCGAAATGTCAATGACAAATTTTATATGGAAACTTGAACAGCAGCAGCACAAATTACGTAACGAGAACTAAAAATCAGTACACATTTAACAGTGACATTTCGCACTCGCAAACGATACGAATTCGATATTGTTTCGTGCTAGGGGTGTCGATTTTTAGTTCTCGTTACGTACTTTGTGGCGCTGCTGTTTAAGTTTCCATACAAAATTTGTCATTGACATTTCGCACTCGCAAACGTTACGAATTCGATATTAGTTCATGCTAAGGGTACTGTACAGATTCAGTACGGAAACAAAAATGAAACGAGCCCACACCAACGCGTTGAAACAGGCGCCTAAATGCAATATGTAGGTATATAGTCAGACACAACATCATCTTCTGATGTAGCTAAATATTCCTTTCAACAAAAATATTCTGAGTATGTTTATTTGTTTATTTCATAAAGTCTGCCAAAAATGCTTTTAAAATATATTTTTTTAAAGTTTCAACAGTTCCATTCAGCAGTCAATTATCAGTTGAAATTCAAAGAGGCATAGCGGATTTCCCGCTCGAATTAGAGCGCCCGTCTGGGGAAGTAACCTCTACCTTAAAAAAAATCACATTAAAATAACTATGACGTTTGGTGGTATTGTTGTTTATCGGTGAATAAGGTTCCAAGGGGACTTTTTGGCGGGATCGGGAAGCGTCACTCTAGCAGTTTTGTTTTTCTTGTTAAAAATGTGTTGTGGCGGATGTTAGTGTTCTAATAATAGTGGATTATTAGCCACTAAGTGTTCGGGAACATGCACAAGTGTTGGCAAGTGAAACAAAATAGCGGAAAGTGTCTTTCGACGTTCCTTCAAGAAGTCCACGGGGAGGTTCCAGTAAATCCCCACACTTTTACTGAAACATAGGGAAAGGGGGATTGACTTGACTGCCACTTACTTTGACTTGATTTATTACTTTGACCACTATATTATTTGTAAATATTTTAACACTTCACATTGGCTAAATGCATAAGCCTTGCGAAGCCATTTAGAAAAAAAGGTGCCAAGGCTTAGCAGGGTAGGAAATTCGGCTTACATAACATATTTTGTAACATGGATTGAGACGTTTTTTTTTCCTATAAGTTTTTTTTTCACATAAGTCGACCACAGCGCACAATGAGAAAGAAATGGTTATCTACTCACTGACCAAAGTTCAAACTATTAAACAGATAGGGCACTGCAGTGCTATTCTGTAAAATTTTCATGCGCGGATCCGATGTGGATCCGCGTGGAACCGCGACCGCTACTGCTGCCCCCCAAGCATGAGCACCGCGATAAGATATAAAACGCGTTTTTATTACGCGCAATTGTTAAATTACTATGGAGTTTGACAGTTCGATAACGTTCGTCTCGTAAATTGTAGTGCTCATGCTACGGGGATTGGAAAGTTATTATAACCCTGGTTTCCCACATTCTCATTAGCTCAGCCAAATTCGATTGACAACGACAACGTATTTATTATAAATACCAAATAGATTTAAAGCGGTTACTTTCTGTGTGTAGTTTTCAGAAAAGTGTCACTTTCCGCACAATGTGTATTCATAATTATAAAAGAAAAGCTTCTCGGAAAGTGTTCCGAGCAAATGCATTGAAAAAGTATTTGAGAAGCGTTTGGTGCGAGAGCGAGGAACATTAACCAAGTAACGATGGTAACCTGCAGCGCGTCTGGATGTCCAACGGTTCTTGTTAAAAAAGTTTTGTTTCTGGACGGACTGTAGGTTACGTTTACACTCATGGGTGCATTTCTAGAAGAACAACCTCACTTTTCATCAGCATGTCATTTGAAATTAGAATACGAATTTTCTTGATGTGATTTGAAATTCGTATTCTAATTTCAAAATCACACCGGCCACCGCGGATTTCGCGGTGAAAAGTGAGTTTGTTCTTACAGTATAACACTGCAGCTTTCTGTTTCAAAAGCCCAGCAGCGGGAGGGATTTATTTCTGTACTGTTAAAAAATATTTTTTGTGTTGATATTTTAATACAAAAATAAAATACCATCCTAAGTCACGATTTTAACATTGAAAATGTTTTTTCGTTCGAACCAGTAACGAAAATGGGGTCCCTCCCCATTTTCGCTGAAATTGCGACTCGTCCGTGATACCCCGAGGTTTAGAGCCACGAGGACGCATGAGGACTCAAAAGAAGGGCTTTAAGCAGATGTAAAAGTCAAAAAGTTCTATGGAAAAACGAGAAAATTTACCGATAACACGAGAACGGGGCCGAATTTCAAAAATATAAAAAAAGCACCTCGGTATTAAACCAAGGAATATTTTAGTTCATTACACTTTTCACATTCGATAATGGTGATGGTTGAGGCTGTAGAAATTCAAAATTCAATATCGTTTATTCAGTCTAGGCTGTTACAAGCTCTTGTGAATGTCGAAAAGCTACGCCATCGGTTCGCAAATCTACGGCGGCGGGAGACCTTGTACTGAGAAGAACCAGCAAGAAACTCAACAAGGACTAACAACAAAGACAACTCATAAAGTCATTTTCCATTACAAACAAAAAATGAAAATAATATAAAAAATATGACTATAAAATAAAAATATAAAAAACTGGTTTAACAAAGTTTAGGAATGCCGCGTCCTACTGTTTAGGCAAAAAAATAATAATAATGAACGATTAAAGTTTAGTACAACGATTAATAGTACCCAATGAAGCTAGAGCAGACTCAACTCCGCTGGCAGCACCCGTTCACGAGCATGACGCATGAACCAGCCATCGCTAGAGGTGCTCTTAGCCGCGAGTTTTGCGCGGCGCCAGGTGCGATATCACGCGGCGGTAGGCTCGCGTGCAGTCACGAGGACGTATGTGAGCTCAAAACACGCGAAATTCGAAGGGCTTTAAGATGATGTTAAAAATATTTTGGAAAAGTTAGTATTGAAAAAAGAAAATTTAATTTTGGGAAAAAAAATGATTTTTTTGAATAATCTGTAATAGGAAGATTCATTCATTTCATTATTTTTCAGTGTCTTTTCAAGTCGTTTTAGAGCACGAATCTGTGAATTTTTTGAATTGGTCTTTAAATAAATAATGTAATAAAAAAAGTTAGCGTATAGGCCATCCGGTGTTGTTTGAAATACTTGTTGCGTTACTAAGCGAGTAGCTTGGTTCTTAGCACCAAGCGAGGCTCTTCGTAGTTCCTGACAATATCAGCGATCATCACAGCTTAATCTAAATAAAATAAAATATGCCTTATGACACAGTATTTAAATTTGAGAGGACGTTGTATTGGTAGTGACATGGTTTTATGTAGTTTAACTAATTAATAGTTACTACTTTTGTTCAATGCTGATGACTTTCTAGCGCCCATTTTTATCATCAGCTTAAAGAGGTCCTGAATGGGTACCACCCATTAAAAATGAAAAAGTATTGGACGACTCAAAAGAGATTACAATAACTCAATTTGAAAAAAATACAATTCCATTTCATTTCAAATAAAAATATGATATATAAAATCGTCGTCGCGATGAAATGTTATGGTCGGTACACACGTAACGATATATCGTAGCGATTTCAGACTGTGCAGATAAATCGAACGTTCCTAGTGACTCCACACGCCTTCGATATCGGCGTCGATTGTCTGTTCGGTTTGTTCTCCGCAGAAGCTCACGCAAGAAACATGTCATCCACGATGGAAGATTATGACGCACTTGCGATATTAGGCCTAGTTATGCGTTTAAAGAAAATAAAGGAGCGGATTGTTTGGTGTAGACTGGCTTCACTCTATAGCTCTCTATGAAATCTTGCATTAGTTCATGGTGTCCATCTCTTTCTTCTTCAGACATGTTGCGATATAAGAGCGATCCGCAAGTGCTCACACTTGCGAG